AATAATTATCAAAATGCAACGATTTTATTTTGCATAAATAGAGAATGAGCATGGAGACATGTCCTGTCCGGTGCACATACACAATATACCCGTGGAACAACTAACGGGTGGGTGGGGTGTAAAAACAAATCAGCAAACAGTACAAATAATACCCAGTACTCTCATGTTCTCTCGAGTACGCGACAGCGCCAACAAACAGACGCGTCGGGGCTAGACTAACTATATAAGAGATTTTTATATTGGGGGTTCGTGTCAGCGGCGGGGCGCGGCGCGGCGCGGCGTTTGCAAATTAGTTATGTAAGAGAGTTATGACAACAAGAACCAGACACAAAAACAACAACCATCCATCCAACCATCCCAAACATACACACGGAGTACGAGTACGGTGGAGCAGAGTACGAGAGTATTTGTTGTCGTGGAAGGTTAAGAAGTTGACATTTGAGGCGTTTCAGTGTTAGAAACTGGCAATGAGCTGCAAAATTATGAGCTTGCCTTTTGCCCAGGGGGCGGGCGGGAGATTGCAGGACCTTCTATATGTATTAGGAGTGTATGTGTGTACACTGTACCATATATGTATGATAAAAGACAGCCAGACAGCAAAACATCTCCCTCCACAGTTATCTTATCTGTGCCGACTTTGGCCTGTCACTATTTGACCAAATAAGACTATAAACTAGTAGTCTCAAGTGAAAGCAATTGGACAGTTGTTATCTGTGAACCAAATCGTTATAAAAGTGGGGTATATGTAGCTTTTGTATCTACGGAATCAAGGCTGCCCACCGGCCTTGGCTCTTGGCCGTCTCGTCTGGTGGGAAATTGCATTATAGTTTTTGTAGTATAAGTGGTACTTTTACTTCATTTTCTTGATGTATGCTTGGGCTTATCTAAAGTTTTTATATTCCTTTAAGGTCTGAACATTCTTCTGTGCCTTCTTCTTTGTTCCTTTAATTTTTCAGATTTTTTACAGCTCTTCCACCATCCTCCAGATGTTCTTTTATAGCCATTCTTTTTCTTTAACTTGCTGCCCTAGCTATCCAATTTTTCTACGCATATTTAAGCTTCATATTCTGTTTATATGTTTTTAAAGTGCCCCTCCATTTATCATTTCTCCACTATATATACTGGATCCACAATGGACGAAACCAAAGAATCCCAGCAAGTGTAAACCGAAAGTGATCTCTCCAACCCGAATCAGCACTTGTCTGGCTTCCCACTGAGTGATCATTGATCAGTGATCACAAACACTGCTTCCGTTCGATAATGCTCTCTGAATATTATTATTTGTACATTTCTCTGGCATTGGAACCGGGGGGGGGACTGGCTGATTGATTGGACACACAGTCTGACTGCCTATCAAGTGTCTTGTTTGTGGATCTCGTTGAGTGAGTTGGTTTCAAATGAATTTCTATTTTCCTCTTCATACGAATAAATTCTTTGGCTATCGATGTTGACCGAATTCTTTTCGCATTTTCGGCATAAACAAAATTTCTGGCAAAGACGTTCCGTCTGGGAGGAAGAGACCCTGAGAGGCCATCGATAAGGGTTTACAATCGAATCGGCTTGCTGTTTTTGGAGTAGAGCCGAGTGAGATATTTCTGTCGGTGGGTTGGCCTGATAAGAACTGCCATCAGACCATCAGACCACGCTGCAAACTGGCTGTTTGTTTGTTGGTTTGTTTTTCTTTCGATCCACAAAACCTGAATGAGCAAAATCGCACTCAAATCGAGTGTTCCTGAGGTCTGGAGTGGGTTCTATTTAAAGGTATATTTTATATAGTTTATTTAGTGCTGTCTGGGGGGTGTTTGCTTTGCTGTGAAGGGTCTAAAGGTGGACACTCCATGCGCTTTGCATGCTAAGTGTATCCACATCCAGACCTCTGATTCATTGATAACACGTGCCGAGTGCACCACACCTGCCTTGCCCAGACCTGCCCAGACCACAGACTTGGGTCTCCTCCCAGCCCCAGCCCCAAACCCACAGCAGACAGTGTGCTGTTGCTTGAGCAAATACGAGTACTATTTGCCCAGATAATTCAGTTTTCAGACAATGCGTGTTCCGTATATATAGTGCACTAACCATGTGACTTGGTACGTGCACATCGGGGCACACTCTCTCTCTCTCTGTGCCCCAGTGTGCGAATGGCAACGATCGGAACCGCAGCTGATAAGAACTGCCCTGCTAATTGATATAGTAGCTGCATCATCCGTCTGACGAACTTTCGATTGCCCTGACAGTGACTATACGGAATAACGGAGACCTGGGACGCGTATTGCTCAATTTTTGGATTACAAATCGGTGCTTTAATGGGGCGTTGGGGCTGTGGGGCGGGCGGGCCTTTGTGGAAAGTCTCATGTCATGGCATTAATTTTGCCAACAGGCAAAAGATTCATTCTGAAATTGAGCTGACATCATCGGCGCATTTTAAAAATAATTATCATTGCCCACCGATACATATGTATGTACATACATATGTACATATATGTATATGCATTAGTGTATATACATTTACTGGACAATGATTCGACTTTCTTTATTTGAATTATGGGAGTCCGAACTAATCAAAATGATGTCTTCAGCATCTAATTTTAATTAACTAATTACTGAATGGCAATGTTTTTAGTTCTAAAGAATTATTTAGTTGGTTATTAAATACAAAATTGTGGATAGAACGGAATATAATGGAACTTGATTGGTCTCTATTATCCGACAGAGGGATAGCTCATCATTAGCTCAGACTGACAGTTAATAATTTATTAGCATTATATTGTATACATGGGGTAGGTCGTATACGTGATTAACCAGCAACGCAAAGAAGATATATTTCCATATAAATATCAATTTCTACTCTCTACACTACCCCAATATGTCTTAATAATACCTAATATATTTCTCAATTTAGCTGTAATTCAACTGCATTCATCCAAGGGCAAGTCCCATGCTCCCTTGATACATCTATTGGCATTCCTGCATGCGTTTGAATAGTATTTTCGAATATTCCAGAAGTATCTACAGCCATAGAAAAAGGGCCTAAGAACTTTAACTTTGATTCAAATCAATATGAATTATATTTTTAATTTGTATATGTATTTTTTTCTTTTTACAATGCAATTTTTATCTATTTGTGTAAATGATCCTCTAGCTGAATGCTTCCGTATTTAATTTTCCTTTATCTTATCATTGCTTTTTCACACAGTAGACATTTCCGCACTTGAGTTTCTTTGAGGATTTCCTGTAAAAATTCCAGCTCTAAAGAGCCACCCCAAGATGCTCTAAGCTGCTCTCTCAATAGTAAGTAGATCTCTTGAAGTAAGTAGTATATTAAGTATTTGCAGTTGGTGACTAATCTAATGGCAAAAAACACAACAACAACAACAACAAACACAAAAAATACAGCTTGCATAAACAACTTTGAGAAAATGTTTATTCTCTGTTTTGGGGTGGGGACGAGGGGGGGCTTAAAATAATTTCAATTCCAAGTGGTCGACCACGGGCCTCATGCAAATGAGGCCTCGAGTACATTAAGTATCCAATGCACCCATACATCTGCAGCAGGCTCACAGATACACACACACACACACACACACACATCCATCTAAGTATTACTTAATATCATTGACTAAGCGCTGCTCACCGAAAACCGAGCCATCAAAACAACTTTCGATTACGAAATTTAGCACAGTTCATGCCTCGGTCTGTGTACCAGGGGCTGTGGGGGCTGGGGGGCTGCGGCTGCCCAGGGAGAAGCCAGAGAGAACTGCAAAGAAAACCAAACAACAAGAAAAGAAAAAAAAAAGAAATAACAGACTTAATGAGCTTTGCGAAATGTGTGTGTGTGTTTGTTTGCTTGCCCTTTCGATGGCTGCTGTCAAGTACAATAAACGACAACAGGTTGAAGCCCAAGAACCCAACAAAAAAAAAAAAAAACCAAAAAAAAAAGGAAAACAACTCAAACAGCTGAAATGGAAAAGTAAAACCAAAACTACAGTGGAACACTTTGGATACCCTTCCACAGTGCAATCAAATAAAAGAGGGCTGGCTATAAAGTAACCTTCCAGCAGAGACTGTGGAGTTTTATTTGTGATTTGTTTTACGTTCAAGTCAAGTAGTGCCTGCAGTTTTCCAAAGTTAGCTTAAGAGCTTAATAAGCTATAAGTAAGCTGAATAAAAGAATGATTCAATCAGGACTAGATTCACTCTAAAATAGCCACGAGAACAAGCGACTGTTGGCAAAAATAATGGAAACCGATTTCTGTGCATGGCAAACAGCTTATTAAAATCCAAATACCCCCTTTTTTTTTTCCAGTGTATGTACAAAAAACATACAAAAAACAAAATGCAACTGCCTGGCGATGAGAACGGAGCTGAACAGACGCTGACGATGACGATGACGATGGGGCTATGATGATGATGACTAATGGTAATCTAAAATAAAAAAAACTGAAAACTCACCCATGGAACCCAAGCAAAAGAAGAACTCGAGGCGAATTTCGAATTAAAATAAAGTCATTGCTGTGGTTTTCGCCCTCTCCACACACTGTATGAGTGTGCCGATTTTGTGGTTGCGTGGCTCAGTGGTTTGGCATTGGGTGGATCGCCTCGTGCACGCGCTGTGCTGCACTGCCGTCATGTGGTCGCCTGATCTTCAAATGTTCTATGAAGTGTGCAACATGGAATCAGCTGTGTGGTGTGTGCCATTGGCTCTGCTGTCCAAAAAGGAAACTTTCAACAAATTTTGGCATACATAATAATAATTATTGTATAATAAACAATGGCAAATTAATGCCAAGAATTATTTGCTGACTGGCATATGGAGAAGGAAATTGATAAAAAAAAAAAAAAAAACTGAAGCTTGATCATGAAATAAATAAACAAAAAAATTGTATGGAAAGTGAATGAGAAACAGAAGCAGAACATTCAGAAATCAATTAAGCTGATAAAACATTTTCTTAGAAGAGACTCAGAGAAGAAATAAAATGACTGGCATTTGTATTTGTATTTGCATTTGCATTTGTATCAATCAGAGAAAGAACAGCAGTCGGAATTAAATTATTTAATTAATCTGGTCTTGATTTTGGACTTGGTCTTGCTCTGTGGCTTGCTGCTTTCTGAGCTTCTCCATTTGATCGGTGTAGAAGCCATTGAAGTTAATGCGATGCACCAGATTTATAAAGCTATTGCGGTTCTTCCAGGCCGATGTTTTGATTTGATGCAGGAACGATACCAGCAGATCCTGGAATTCCCAATCAAAGTAGTTCACACGCTCCGCAAAACTCTCCGATGGCTGCAACAAGCTCTCCAGCTGGATGTAGTCACAGAAATCGATGCAGATCTTGCACAGCTTGAAGATGGCGCGACTCAGGTGCGAGGATTCGGTCATGACGCAGCTCTTGAGGCAGCCATCGAGAAAGTCCTGATGGTGCTTGAGCACCAGCTCCACGTTCTTCACCGTCTTCAAGCGCTCGTTGAAGAGATGCCAATTGGGCACAATTACCTCGTATATCATGTAGTACTCGATGTTCTGTATGGCGTTCATCATACGCTGCCGCAGGGTGCACAGCGATCGGTGCAGCTCCGCGTACTCGCGCCACGGCCGATCCTTTGGCATGTCGTTCAGCTTCCAGATCTTGCACATCTGTCGCTCGGCGTGCTTGCAGAAGAAGAGCTGCCGGAAGAGCATCTGGTACTTGGAGATGGCCAGTTGGTTGATCACAATCGAACAGGGCCACTTGGTCTCGTAGGAGAAGGAGAAGCACTCGATGCCGCTGAGATCCTCGCGGCGCGTCTGCGACTGGCCGTACTCCTCCTCCTCCTGACGGCCCATGATCTTCGACAGCTGCGTGACCAGGTCATAGGTGAGCAGGTCGCAGTGCACATAGTCGCTGTAGGGATCCTGACGGGCCAAGGAGAACCGCAGGGTGAGGCCGAGCAGATTCTCCAGGATCATGGGCTGCACGTCATCCACCGGCTTGGACAACTCGGTCTCGCAGGCGTCCATGAACTGTGTAATGAAGTCGCCCTGGCCCAGCAGCAGATAGTTCTTTACGGACTGCAGATGCCCCATCAGGTCGTGCCCCTTCAGCAGCACGTCCAGGAGCATGCCGGCTGCAAAGTGGTAGGCCTCGTTGATCACCTTCTCGATCCGCCCGCCGCTGGTCGGTGCCAGTTGCTCCTCCAGATTCATCTGTTGGATGGGCAGCGTCGCCTTGCCGCACTGCCGGATCACGTTCAGGTATTTGCCGGTGTTCAGAATCTTGTCCGTGTACCGCGTCAGGAATGTGGGCACCCGACTGGGGCGCACGGTGTAGCGTTTCTCCCAATAGTCGTCCGCGTAGCGACCGGTCTCCGTGTACTGGCGTCCTGCACCGTTGTCCTGCACCAGGAACTCCTTGGTGTGGTCCACCAGCTGGCCCGTGTGGATCCACAGCTGCAGCTTGCGCATATACGGCACGGCTGCGGCATTCGTCAGCTTGGTCATCAGCTGCTGGGCCGCTTCGTTGCCCTCCAGCAGCCCTATACGGCCGTATAGCAGGTCCAGCACAGCGGCGCCCCGGCACTTGCCCAGTTGGATATCACGCAGCACCTTCCAGATCTCCTCCATCACCCACATTGTTGGCTGCAGGTAGTACTGAAGCAGCAGCACGGTCATCTGCTGCCGCTGCAACTCCTCGTCCGCCTGCGAGATCAGCTTGTAGAAATCTCTGGTCAGATCCTGCAGAGCGTAATTCAGAGCGTTGAGCACTTGGCCGTGGCCATCGCTGGCCGCCATCATCCTCTGTATGCCCATGAAGTACGTGGCCAGGGGCAGGATGTTCTGCACCACCTCCCTCATGCTTCTGTCCAGCTGGCAGTTGATGGTAAACGAAGTCTCACCATCGCCATTGCCCAAACTGTTCGTATCTGGCGACTGGGGCAGTATGTAGGTGCCTCGCATACCCACCAGACAGTGGAGCACATCTTTCAGTATGTATCTCTGCTGTATATCCGCTGGCAGAGCCCCCAGCTGCGGCTGCACCTTGCCACCATCTTGTGGCACCTTTTCGTAGTCCCAGAGCATGTGTGTGCGATAGTCCGGCGAGTTTGTCGATGTCGATGTCGATGTCAAAGACAAACGGCTCGAGCTGCTGCCGGAGCGTGAGCGTGAGGCAATGGAGCTATCTTCGAAGCTTGCCAGCGAATGAAAGTGGGTCAGCGATGGGTTCGAAATGGCCATCAACAAACGCTCTTTGATCTCCTTCAATTCGGTGCTTGCCTGCTGCTCCTTAATCGCCAGCAGCTGTCTGCATCTTGCCAATATTTCCTTTGTGGAGAGCAATGGACCAGGATCTGTAGCCGTTTCAGATCCGTCACTGCTGTTGCCCTTCTTTTCAGACATAATTTTACGCGTTTCGACAATGCGGAATGTAGTACAAATAGAAACCAAAGTGTCAAATTGACAAGAAATATATTGACAGAACATGTAGCTTCGTATTTGGATGGATGGGTGGCAGCCCTATTTAGATGCATAGCTTTGTTTCTGGTTGGGTGGAAACCCTATTTAAATGTTTTTATACGTACTTATGGCCAATGGCCATATGACAGAGCCAATGGATACACAACGAGTATCCACACACAAAGGAACCTGTTCAGAGACAATCCCCGTGCCAGGGACCGGACCGGCACTGACACGGGTTCGTTGGCGGCTGGCTGCACTATCTCTCTCTTTTCAATATTTGTTCTTGTGTGTAAATAATTAATTACACAGCTCGCACAGTATAAATCCTCCATTTTTCCAAATATGACTAAGAATATATTTAGATGCGACTTATCGCAGCCACAGAAATAGATATTCCATTCCCCGTTTGCTGCACACAACAAAAACTGGGAATTATCATTGTGCGCTCCGTGTTAATTTTTCTTTTTTTTTCAGCTTTCACGACTGTTGAGATTTTCTGCCATATATGGAAGCAGAAATCTGCCAGCTAGGAACAAAAAAAAAAGACAAACACAGCACGAGATGAAGCTGGAATAGTCGTACTATAAATTCGCATTTAATTTGAGCATTTCTTTTGTGCCGCCAGATAAAAGCGTATCTCGCAGGTACACAACAGAAACAGCAAACAGCAACAACAACAACAACAGCAAAAGCACAGAACAACAAATGCCGTACTATTATTTAATTAGCGTTGAGCTCTTGGCCCCCTTAGGCCCTCGGGCATGTACTTGAGTGCATACATATCTCGTATCTAGTATCTTGTATCTTTAGCTCTGGCTGTGGCTATAGCTCTGGCTCTGGCTGGCTACCTATAATACTCGCCAGATTTGTTACATTTTTTATTGCCTGAATATTCGCATAATAACTGCCTGTGGCCTGTGGCCTGTGGGCCACTTCAAGCCCATTCATATGTATCTCTCGGATACATTTTCGTACTGTTTCCCTCGAAATTAGTTTATTTAGCCAACCCAACGCTCGAATGGCCTCTAAAGGGGATTACGGATATTTCTCTGGCTCTAATCTGATAATCACCGGAGTATTCCCGATGACTTTGCCTCTTGTCCTCCCTCCACACACACCATCATCCCGCTTATCTGTCCCTCCATCTCCCTCGCACTCGCCCGCGCCCTCTCCCTCTCCTCATGTTGGCTCTCTACTGTTATTACCTTCTCCTTTTGTGCTACACTTGCTTCATGGTTTATCTTTTGTTTCTATGCTAAACAATTTCTGCACATGTGGCCCATTGTTCATGTTGTTGCTTTATGTTCACGAGGCCCATTGTCGTTGCTGCTGCTGCTCTGTTGCTCCTCTGTTGCTGCTCTGAATCGAGCCCCTAGCAACTAACACACACACACACACGCACACACACTCTGATACGTACCCTGTTATTCGAGCCGACACTCTATGCTCGGAACATGGAACATGCACCGACTTGTCGATGAGTCACACGTTTTTTGCTTTTGTTTTTGTTTTTGCACTTGGCTGTTTCTGGTTTTCTTTCCTTTTTCTTTTGTTGTTTGATTTAAGTACACGGACGCTGTTTGTTCTTGTTGTTGCTGCTGCTGTTCCTGTTGTAGTTTTTGGTGTAATTTGTATTGTTGATCGTGTTGTTGTTGTAACTATATTAGTTGTTGTTGTAGGTGTAACTCTTGTTGTTGCTTCGGTTTACGAAACCTTTCTCTCTATTTTCTTGCTTTCGTTGTTTTGTACTTGAAGCTTCGTAGCCTCTGCCTTTTGAGTTTCACAGCATTTATCTTTGTGCTCAGAGATGGCAGGCCGCTATCTGCTCTGTCGCCGCTCCAGCTGGCTGCATCGCCTGTTCTTTCGGCTGCAGTCCGCGCAGCTCAATTTTCATAGCAGCCAGCTTTGAGTTTCAGGGCAACCAACCACAGCAACAACATTTACATCAAAATTTGTTGTACCATGCATTGTCGAAAAATGGCAACAACAAAAAATGGAAATGCTATGGATTGTTGCTGCAGTCGCTGCGCTGCTCGTCCGCTGCTGCTTCTTTTGTTATATTCGTCGCATTGTTGCCACGCCAGGTAAAAATGGGAAAGTGCACAAACAAACAAACATACATACATACATGTACGTATGTACGTATGATGTACATATGTATGTATGTATGTATTAGGTGTAGCTATCATTCATATTGTGAAAACCTTGGGTCTGCTACAATTACTGTTGACATTTATTTTTTTATTTTTCCTTTTTCGTTTTTGCCTTCGCCTGTTGTTCAGTTGTTCAGTTTCGCATTTCCGCTTTCGTTTCGTTGCCGTCTCCGTCTACGCCATCCAACAACGTCTCGTCATTTGTTTGTCACAGTCGATGGCTTGGCCTGCTTGGGTTGGCTCCGTTGGTAACACCGACAACACCACACCAACAACCACACCAACAACCAACAGAGGCGGCAGCCACAATGGCAGAGTGTTGCTTATCAGTTTTGTTTTTTTTTTTTTTTCTTTTCGTTGAAACAAAAACAACCAAATCTACAGCGCGATACCAACAATTGAGTCAGAGATACAGATACATAGGGCAAATACAACAACAGCAGCCACAGCCACAGCCCCAGCACCAGCCCCACAGAGCCAACGAAAGAGACGTCAAGTTGAAAAACAAAAAATTCGTAATGCAATCGCACACACAGAGATACAGTGGACGCTCGATACTTAGAAATGCGACGGGTTTCAAGGTTATTTGGCAAAGGTAAAAGGTGAAAGTCTAAAGGGTTTCTTTTGGGGGTGGGGGTTCGCTACCCCCCAGACCGAATGTACTCGGTCTGAATGTGTACATCAAACGTACATCCAGATAAGCATAAGCTACAATTAATGCCCAGAGATACGTTACAGATAAGCATAAAACAGTTCCGCCTAGCAACTGTGGGCTGTAATTACATCCACATCAAATTACATATGTGGCATTCCTTGTTTCTAATAACTAAGAATTTCTAATATCAATTGCCAGGCATTCACTGTTCATGCACACGTACCTAGGTACATCCATAGACAAGTACATATGTATGTACATATCTGGGGGTGAGAACAAGTTGCTCATTGAACTCAAACCAAAAGATTTCCTCCTCAAAACATTCTCTAACAACTTGGGATGGTCGAGGGAACGACAGAGCTGAGAGATGCCATCGGCGGAGATAGAGAAACAGAGAAATAGAAAGCAGGAGAAAGGAGGGTTGGGTGGGGGCAGGGTGAAAGACCATGTCCAATCGAAATAATATATTGTACGATCTATTTGTGGTTTGCTTACAACAAAAGATAGAGAAGGAGGGCCAGAGGCACAGCCAGAGGCAGAGACAGAGGCAGAGTCAGAGTCCGTACCCTACCCTCAAAAAGAATCTCGCAGTGGTGCAGAGAAGAGGGCGAACCGAATTGAAAAGATTTGAAGGTCATAGAAACTGTCAAAGAACTCATACAAAGATAGATAGATACATAGATAGATGCATGGATGCATGGACGAATGGGCCCTATGAATGCTATGAATTGGTTGCTGTGATTACCCATAGACAAATTGTCAAGAAACATGACAATTGAGTATTCTCTCAGTGGTTGGGGGGTGGGGTGCGGGTCAAGTTTTTACTGTGGGAATAATGACACTTTGAGTGGCAGGCCGAGCAACAGCAGGGAACAATCAACCACAATGGGACTCTGATGGCATTATAATATGGGGGAGCAGGCTGTAGGCAGAAGATGGATGAAGCGCGCTCGCGCTTCTTTGTCAGGTTGGCAAAAGTTTTTTTTTCGGGTTAATTTCTATACGATTAAAAAAGGAATAAACAAAAAATGGATGGAATGAATGATGATTCCAAAAAGTTCACTTCTGCTGTAGTTGGCTTAACTATGCCAGAACAAAATCAAGAGTATCAGCAAACACGCGAACACATTAAATGTACATATATCCAACATGAGATGTCACTTTCTGGGAAAACATTTTTCAATTTTCGCTTTTTCTTCCCCCCCTGGAGCTGTGTGGAAATTAATTGTGAAAATTTTCTGCTTGCCTTCAAAATATTTTGAGTGTTGTTCAGGCGCTGCTGCCACTGCCACGTGCCCCGAACGCAAATTAGAACATCCAAAACAGGTCCCCCACCCACGACAAAAACAAAACAAACCCAAAAAAAAAAAACAGCCAGCCAAGTGACAAGAGGCCAAGAGATTGGCTGCGCAAAAAAACGATTATATGGAGATCTGTATATGGGGAAGGGCTTTACTTTGCGTTTGGACCCCCACACGTGCCGATGAGCTGGAGACTTTCCATGGGCAGAAATACCCAAGAACTGAAATTAATTGGCTCGACAACTGTCAGCGAAGAACGTCTGAGTAGAGCAGGGATTCTATGAAAAATAAAGACTAGAGAACTTGACACAATATTTGCCAAAAAAAAAAAAATATTAAAACTTTTTCTAGCGTTGTTTTTGCCGTTCCGTTTCGTTCTCTTAATATCTGAATGTATATTTTTCTGTTCCTCAATAACAGAAATTCCGCATTTGAGAATATGCAGCAAATTGTTGACAGAAATGACACACCCAATCTATTTATTCGGTATAGTATTTGTCTTCTAATGGAACGCGCAAGGAAAACAGGGAAAGAGCAATAAATAGAAATAGAAAGCAAAACAATGCCTGAATGCTAATGGAAATGGGAATGGTAATAAGGTGGGGGGGAGCAAACAACAGGTTAAATAATATTGCAAATATTTGGTAAGACTCTGTTGCGGCTCGAAATACCGAAGTCTGGCATCGGAGTCTACTGGGGAATACCGTGCAGATGTTCCCGCCGGAGTTCTGTTTCGGTTTTGAATGGGTTTGGGGGGGTGGTGTGTTGCGGGTGCTCTATGGAAAAACTATGGGAAAATACGCATCGGCTACATCTGGGCGAACGAACGGAAGACGCGTGTGGCTCATAACCGAAACGTGTTTTCGTTGATGCGAAACTATACATCAGATATACCATACAGATCTACGTGATCACTTCCCCGACACCTCGCCACACTCTCTCTCACCCTCTCTCTACCCCTCTACACACTCTTTGCTCTAAAATATTAATGAAAACATCTATAAACTACAAAGTCAAGGAAATTATCTGCGACAGACGCGTCAGAGGCATCATCATCATCATCATCAACATCATCAAATCGCCTTGAATGCGACACAAAATTACAAAATAACAAAAAGTTCAAAATACGTATAAAAATAAAAGAGTGAGTAGAGCAAAAACAAAACGAGACGGAAAAAAGAACAGCATAAAAATGAAAAATGAAAATAAAACGAAATGTCCCCAAAAATATGCAAAACGATTGTGACGTGAAATTGATTTAATTAAATCTTTTATGACGTGACAATTGAATTCTATTTTCGCATCTAATTGGATCTGATTGTCCCCATAGTGCGGTCCGGTCTCCGACCAAACAAGATTCCGCACAGCCACAGATACTGTGGCCAGTCGCACTCGTACTCGTACTCGTACTCGCATATACTCGAACTATTCAAATGTGTGTTCTGTCAACGATTTTTAAGTTCACTTGCACCCTTTCTCCGCTGTCTATTCTTGGACATGACGGAATATGACGATTGCCGTCCCGAAAGTGCTTGAGGTCTGTAGTTGCCCCCCAGACAGCATGGGTTATGCGCTCAAATGGTTGATGGCTTTCGCTGTGAGGGTAACCTTGAAACGATTACAATTGGGGATGGATAGATTGTCATTTAAACATTAAATAGCACAATCTAAATTGTTGTCTATCCGCTTACATTTTGTACAGATTGATGGAAATGGTGGCGAGCCTTTAACGGAACTTAATAGAGAGTTTTCAAGATATGGAATATTCACTGGCTGTTTTCTATATGGTGTGGAAGCAGACGTCAGCGAAGTGTAAATCTAAATCCTTGAACTCGAGCTAATAGGTCGCACTATGTGAACGGCTCGTGTAGCGTACGGCAGATTGTCACAATATTAAATATATAAATAGAATGAATAATTTCGAAACCACAAAAAATACAGCTCCATAGAGCTCATAATGTTATTGGTCTCCCTTTTCAAACTCTAGAGTCTAGACCGCTAAGGAAACACCCTAATAGAACGCACATTTGTGGCTAAGCTAAGCTAAGAAATATGTAAATAGGAATATGTACACTTACCCCGCCATAGCTCCTTTAGTTCTTCCTTGTCCATGGCAAGTCAACGCAAATCCAGCTTTCAGTATACAGATCTTTTGTGGCGAATCACTGGGCAACCCTCTTCTCGACGATCCCTCCACTCCACTTCACCTTTTGCTTCCTCTTTGCGAGGCACCTCAGCCTGTTTTCGGGCTGCTGCTGCAACGTTGCCGCACTTCAGCCAAGTTCAGAGTACTCGTACGTATACGTATTGTAGTGTATGTACCCCCGGGAAACAACGGGTTGTTGTGGGCCTAGCCCAAACTGGTTGCCCAATTGTCTTCCCCCTGCAGATCGCGGCCCAGCGATTGTTGCAGCCAGCAGCCAGCACCCAGCGCAACAAAGTTGCCATGGCCGTGGACGGGCGGACGTAACGGGTTGTGCGGGAAAGCAACGTTGCCGATTTTCACTGGTTGCGTTGCACTGCGGCTGCTGAAAGAAAGTTGCACCCGCTACAATCCCCCGCCACCGCCCCCGCTCAACACAGCTGAGCTGAGCTCTGCCCCGATGGTGCCACTGCCCCTCCAGCCCATCGCTTGTTGTAGAAAAGAAAGCCGTTTTGTTTTAATTTTTTCCACAATTATTTTCCGCTAGCGCAGGAAAAATTATATGCTTTATTTTTTTGTAATTTTTTTTGCCTTTGTTTTTCTCTCTGTACGTGTTGAATGTTGATTTTTTTTTGCACAAAATGTTTTTGCTTTTTTTGTTTTTTGTTGGTTTTTTGTTTTGGTTACAAATTTCTCACAATTATTTGTTGCTTTACGCAATAAAAAAACTTAACATTAGATACAATATACGTTTTGTTTTTGCTTTTATGTTTTGTAATGATAAAAAAATTAATACATGTATTTTCGTATTTTGCGGGCTTCTCTCTCTCTCTCTCTCTCTCTCTATCTCGATCTTCTCTCTATCTTTCGGTAATAAATAGTTTTTTTTCGCTTTGATAGATACTTTTTGCGGGTAATAGATACTTTCGTGTGTGAGTGTTTTTGGATGTGTTTCGGTGTGTGAGTGTGTGTGTGTTTTGGGTCGTATATCTGTGAGAACATTAAGTTTTCTTTTTTGTAATTTTTTAAAATTATATCGCATTTAGTTTTACATTTAAATTTTCGAATTTTTAATTTATCCTTCGCTGCTACATTTAGGTTTTTCCTTTTTTTTTTATATCGCAATTGGAGTTTTTACACAGACAAAAAAATTTTACAAATTTTTTACGCTTTCACATTTACTGAGATATTTTCTGCCTTACATTTGTTACACGCTACATATTATTTTTAGATGATTTTTTTGTGTGGGTTTGCCATTTTGTTTTTTTTTTTTTGTTTGTTTGTTTTTGATGGGGGTACGCGCTATACATTTAATAATATATGTAAAAATTTGTTAAAATCCTAAAATTTGTTGGTTTTAATTAAGATTAATTAATAATTTAAAAATTTTATTGCAGCAAGCTGCGTCTAACTAAAACTCCTCCTCTCTAAAATCCTCCACTGATTGCTCAGCATTTTTAAAGTTAAATTTTAAATTTAGCAAGATCAAGTTTTGTTTGTTTGTTGGTTTTTGTGTGTGGTGTAGTTTTTTTGTTTGTTTTAGTTTATTACAATCGTACGGTCTCTATATAGCATACAATCTTCAAAAATCTGTTCTGTATGGGTGTGTAAGTGTGTTGTATGTATGTGGTGTGGTTGTGGTGTGTGGGGTTTGTGTGGGTGTGTAGGTGTGTATTATCAACGTCCCCGGGCCAGGAGCCTGGACGGGCCCTGGCCCTGGCTGGGGAGCTCTTAGCATCTTAAACAGTATCACATATTCATGAGTTGTCGACGGGCCCGCCCCCTGGGGGGTGGGGCTGCCATCTTTGAATTTCATGTTGGGTTTTCCTCACGTTTCGCTTCTGCTTTTGCATTTGCATCTGCATCTGCTTTTGCTTTGCTTTTCTTTTTGTTTTCTTTTCTTTCGTCGTTGGTGAAAAAGGAGAAACAACTTAAAAGTCTAGTTATTATAGCACTACGCATCTAAGTAAATGGTGGTGAGAGTCACAATTACAAATTGAGTCGCAGAGAGAGGCTCTCTCCTGCTCTCGCTCTAGTATTAGTATGAGTGTGTGTGTGTGTTTTGGGTGTTTGGGGTGTGTGTGTGAGTGTGTGTAGGTGGGGTGGCTTCGAATACTTGCTTCGTCGTCGCGTTGCCGATCGCAACAAACTACTCCTCTCGTTCTCTCTCTCTCTCTCTTAACATCACAGGGGGTGTTGGGCGCTTTCTCTCACCCTTTCTCTCCTACACCGTTGGCGTGGCGATGGCTCGGCTCTGGCTGCTGCCAAAGCTGTAGCTGCGCCTGGCACCCGGCCCCTCGGCCGAGTACAGCTTGTTTTTGGTGATCGTGTACTCGGGGCTGATGGTGATTGTGCGTGCCAGGCTCTTCATGAACTGCGGGAGGAGCGAGGTCCAGCCGCGGTGGTCCTGGCGCAGAGTCACGTACACCTCGAAGGTGGAGACCGTCTCGGGGTCCAGCTTAAGGGAGGCGATGCGGCGCGAGTTTTTCGGCTCGTCCTCGAACTCGATGTAGATGGTGCAGCCTCGGGTGCCGCACGGCTCCTTCTCCGACACTCGGACAATGTCGGCCGCGATGCTGGGCACGAGGTCGCAGGGCAGCGACACCTCCGTGCAGGTGAGATGGCGAGACTTGGCCGCTCGCAGCTCGTCCAGGAACCGCAGCGACAGGTGCGACACTTCCCGCATGTCCAGGTCGGCGGGGGCCACCTGCTCCTCCTCATCCTCGGCCTGCACCTCACCGGCGTAGTAGTAGCCGCCACTGCTGGGCTTCGTTTTCTTGCTGTAGTTATGGGCGTGGCTGGTGGGCGCCTGCTTGTGCTTAATACTGTAGTTGGGGGCATCGACGCCGCGGGCGGAGGAGCCCTTGGTCTTGAGCGGGGCAGCGTTCACGGCAGCGTCAATGGCCACACTGGCGGACGCGGGCGGTGTCAGGGTGCTGGTCCAATCTGGAAGAACAATGGAAAGAGTAGATGCTGATGAGTACACGAATTGTTTAAACAAACGCCAAGAGTGCGCCAGAGGCTGGGGTGAGGTTGGGGCAGAGCAGAGCAGAGCAGAGCAGAGGAGCATCAAAGGGAAACGTATGGCGGACAGCGGAAAGCCGCTTGGCAACAGCGGGCATAAAGCGAACGAACAACCGCTAGCGAACGGCAAGACAAAAGCGGAACACACAAAAACCCGACGGTCAGCGTACGGAGGGGGGGGCAAGAGCCCAAACGAAAAATCACTTTTTATTGTTGCTTCTCTGCCTACGTGACCATGTTGCTGTTGTTTCACTCCCTGTCTGACTTTTGTTTTACTTAATTTTGTTGAACAATTTAACATGATTGCCGCTGCTGCTGCCTCTTTTTTATGACATTTTTTCTGTTGTAATTGCAAATTGATTTTTTATGCATTTTTGTGTTTAATTATTTTCGAAATTATTTACTGATGCAATTTTCAGGGCTAAAACAAAAGGAAGAGGACACAAAAGCACTTTTGTGGCAGCTAAACTAGCTCTAACTGTTCATTGAAATGAGAAATCTTGTGGGAAAACTGCTTTGTCAATTACTTTTTGCGGTGGAATAAAACATTTTCTTAGATATTTGCCAGAAAACTACGTGAAGAGTTGGGTTTTTCTATATTTTGCTTTCGCTGAACTACACTGTTTCTGCGCTGCCTTTTCGCACACTTTCTTCCGGAATGTTCCAGAACTCAATTTTCTTTTCTCTTTCGAGGAGAAATTCTCTTCTCCCATACACTTACCTATATTTTTATTTAAGCCCATCACACCGCCGTAGATGGATTGAACGGGAATAACCTCCATTTTCATTTGGGGCTGAGTGTGTGTGGTGATTGTGGTTTTTTTTTTTCGAAGGAAATCGAATCGAGTCGGATGAAATATCGTATCAAAATCGTTCGCCCTCTTATCGAAAATTTCCTCTCTGGTGGATGCGTTTCGCCGACGGCTTTTTATTCTGCTTAGCTTTTTGTATCACTTGAAACGTTTTTGTTTTGTTTTAACAATTAAATAATATGTATGTTTGTTTTTCTTGCTTTTTTTTTCTTAATAAATTTATCACAATTTGCTGTTGTTGTTGCTGCTGCCGCTGATTGCTTCAATTTGTTGCTGCTGCAGTGTGTTGGTTGTTGTTGGTTTAGATTAGCTTTTTTGTTGTTTTGTAGTGGAATCACAGCACTTTTGTTGTTTCATTAATTATTTAAACTTGATTTGTGGTTGTATCACTTTAATGGCGTTGGTCCGTTGCATTTGTTGATGGCAAATATTAATTATTTATAGTGTTCAGAAAACTGTTTGCTACAAGTACATTGTTGCTTTATAGAATTCTTCGTGAGTTTCTGTTCGGACGCTGCTCTGGCCACTGTCTGTCTCCCAGCAGTGTCTATCAAAAATTTTTCGGGCCGTCGATGTGGATTCTAATGTGGCCGACAGCTGGTTTATATAGCCCTCGCCAGGCCTCTGCCGACGTCGCTGTTCGCTGCTCGCTGCCGCTGGTGGTGGTTGAGCGAGCGGCTACAATTAGCGGTCCGCTCTCTCTACATAAGAGACCGCTCTCTCTCTCTCTCTCACTCTGTGCTGCCTCTGCTGCTGCTGCTGCTACTACTGTTGTGGGTGCTCGGTGCAGGTAGAGGGGAGGCATGGCATGGCAAAAGCAGGCAAATGGCTGATGTAAGTCGTATGCTTTTTACACAGCTCTCGTCGTCGCACTCACTCTCGTCGCTCTCTTGTAACCTAGCAACAACGTCAGCTGTTTCACTCCACTCACTCCACTCCACTCAACTCAACTCAATGCTCTTCTCTGCTCGCTGTTGCTGGGTCGCTCATGCGCACTGCGCACCCACAACCCGGCCGGCGTCGCTGTCTCTGCTCGCTCTTCTGCATGCCGGTGTATGTGTGTGTTTGTGTGTGTGTGTGTGTTGGCCGTGCATACGTGACTTTTGCGCCGGTTGAGCATGTTTCGAAAAAGGATGATGAAAACGCCACCGTCAGGAAGCGGCAGTAGCTGCAGCAACAAACCAAAGTAACCCTGCCCCTTCCCCCCTGCCCCATGCTCTTCACACCATCCCTTCGTGCAGCGTTCCACATTTACTGCGCTGCCTCAGTCGGCGTCGCTGCCACCGCTGTTGCTACTGCTGCAAGGAGCACTGAAATTTTCCACTGCACAAAATTCGAGTCCCGGCTAATGGGGCAAGAGCAGCAGCCATTGCGTTGCAAGTTGCAGCCCCAGCTCGAGGCTGCTGTTGCCAGGCCAGATACAAATGTATCTGCAATCCCACAGATACTTGTACTCGCACTCGTGAAACAATCCGAGTTTTGTTTAGTTTAAACCAAGCCAAATGCAAAATTTCCCCCCCCCCATTCTTTTCCCTCGTCTTTGATTTCTGGCCAATTTGTTTGCTGTTTTGGGCATCTCTCGGGCCCCAGCCCCACTCCACCCTTGGGCTAAATGTCGGAAAATGAAAGCAAATTTCCCAAGAAATTCACAAAGTTGTGGGTCGTTCACGCACCGATTCGTGTTTTTGCGGCAACTCCAATCGAAGTTCATGTGTATCTTTGGGATGCGATTGGAAAAATCTAATTGAACATTTTGGTGGTACGATGGCGCCCCGTCGCCATACATATTCCCAGAGGACTGAAACAGAATGAACAAGTTTTCAAAGAAATATAAAAATAATGATAAATAAAGATGAAATTGATGATGAATATTTATCAGATAATATTAAAAAAAAAAAGAAAAGTATTTACGAATACTTTTCGTAACCTTTATTTATGGGGTGGAGTTTTTGTGTGAGTTCTTACTTAGGGATAAAACAGGTTCAGGTTTTTTTCGTTTTCATATTCTGGTGAAAATGCAAGGGCAAGTTGTGTTATATTTTATTTAAAATATTAAGAAATATTATACATAAGTAGATTCATTCCCTGAATTAAAATATCTAAGGATCCACACCAGCACCACGCCGGGGTCATAGTGTAACGTCTTGTTTCCCCAAATTCCACACATTTTTTGTACACCAAAAAATCGTGAAATTTATAAATATTTGATGAACAATATAGTCGCACGATTCTCGTAAAAGTAAATGACGAATTTCATCATAATTTTATAAGTTATGCTCGCTCTCAAATCGTATAATATCGTATGTTTTCAGGCAACGGGCGACCTGTTCTTGTGAATTTCATCAGCAAGTGAAAATTGTATGTGCATGTGTGTAGAGGGATGGGGTAGATGGATAATATATGTACATATGTATGTATGTATAAGTGTGGGGGTGGGGGGAACATTTCATATTCATATCATGATCCCTGGCTGTGTCCTTTCCTTTCAATTGAATGCATTTTCTTTCCTTTCTCGATTCGGGTCGGGTTATGCCATCTTCATCTTCATTTTTGTCGTTTCTCCAAGAGCCATTGTTTGCTGACCAGAGATGTAGCGCTGCTTCACGTAGATTGAAAACGAAAGATTGAAATGTATCTCATGGATACACAAGCACACCCACACATACACACTGCACACACACACACACACAGCACACTCTCCCAAACAGCCGAAACTCAAAGTCCGACTTGCTGTCTCGATGCCTGCCACAAATACTTGCGTATAAATAAAATCAAATTTCTTTCAGATTGAAATGAAATTCCTTGAAGCACGAATCCGTATCTCTATCTGTGCGATGTGTTTGTGTGTGTGCCTGTGTGTAGGATATCTTTCGTGCCACATTAGCTTTATGTAGATGTGTTTTGTCAGATAATAAATGAATTGAAACGAGAACTTCTCTTTGTTGTTGACGTGCCCCTTGACTTTGCCTCTTCTTTGACTCTTTGCGTACGAGTATATTGCGAAACGCTTGCTTTGATAACCTGAGCAATCCCGGCATTTCGCAATCTTTGAAATGCGATACAGCCCCTTTGCGATTCAGATTCGATGCTGCTCAAATGGGGCGTGGCCCCCACTTGATTAGAAACAGGAATCGGAATCGGCATCGGCACTGGCTACGCAATCGCGAAATAGCCCAAAGAGTTGCAATAATAAACCACAAAGAATTGTGATTCATGTGGCAAACAAGAGGTTAATGAACAGCAGAATTTATAGATCTAGATATAGTCTATATGCATCGTATTGTTTATATTTTATTCTACGCGTATATCAAAGGTATTGGAAAGTTTCGTTCATTTTTGGGCTGCAAGAGAATTTCTGATTGCTCCAAAAGAAAGCCCATAAGAAATTAAACTGATGGAAATGCCACACTCAATACATTTCATACTCACCGAAAGAAAAAGAACTTAAATTTGGGTATATAATAATTTTATTTTGAAATTTCAAAAAATAAATCAATCAATGTTGGGCCTGAATTATATTTTCTTTATGATTTTGCGATGCTCTCTGCCCTGATGGGGTTCACATATGAGAAAAAAGAAAACCTACCTAGGAAGAACTTTACTTTACCTTGGCTCTCTGCTTTTCCGGGAAAGCCATTTCCCACAAGTTTATGCCTTGGCTTTTTGGCGTGCGGCTGCTGCTCTGCTGCTGCCCCCCCTCTGAAGGCAATTTGTAAATTTAAATTAGTTTTTTACTAAACACAACACATTTTCACCCCGAGACACACACACACACCCACATAGATACTCGCACACATGCATAAATTTTCATTAAAAAATACGGAAAAGTGAAAGGTGGCAGGGAAAAATCTGAGGAAAATCACAAGACGTGTGCAGAACCAAAGAAAATTAACAAGAACAAGTTGAGTTTTTCTCAGTGGCGCGTGTGTGTGTGTGTGTGTGTGCTAGGGGGGAAAACCATTGCCAAAATGCTTCCCAGAACTGGTTGCCAGAGAGGCAGGTGTGTGTGTGTGTGTGTGGCAAGTTACTGTTTGGTGTGGCAGCAGACACTAAATTGCGAGCAAATTATCCATTTATCCGACCCAAAAGAGATTGACTTTCGCGGAAATATCTAACCCAAAACAAAATAAACCGCACACCTATGACGAGCACATTTCGGGGCGAGTTCATTGCACGTACTTAAGTTGGCTGAAGATACAGATACAGATACATATACAGATACACATCCGTGCAAGAGGTGTAAATCCCTCGAAACGAACTGCGATAAGCTAATTTGATAAAGCTGTTTGATCGATCCACTGCGATAAGGGCGAATGCATCAATTGAAAAGCGAAACTCATTCGATTGGAGCGATAATTATGGACACGGTTCTCGCTCAGAGATATGATGTCATCGCGGCAGAGCCAGCCTGGCAACAAAGGAAATTGCCCAATTATAGCTATTCGATCGCCATGTGCCCTACATATGGAGCAAAGTTTGCTGTAAAGGTCACCCCCAAATGTCTTCCCATAGGATCCGCAACTCCGAAGTCCAAGAAAACGTACGATTCCCACCTCCAAAACCAAAACCAAGAAAAATAATATTTTTTTTATCAAAACGGCATGCCTGGTGCCATCTAGCGGGCAAAGTTTCCTTTAAATCAGATCAAAGTGGCAGAGAAACGACTTTTGAGTAGTTTTGAGAGTCATAACTACCCGGAAATTAAATACCCTGTAAAACCTCCTTAGAATCTCTTATCACAAAGTATCCCCAACCAACTACGAAGAGAAATGAATTTTTCCTGCAACAAAATAGAAACCAGCAACGGCATGCCTGGCGCCATCTGCCGGCCGCCGTTTCTTTGCAGCATACGTGACCGTCTCAATTTTTGAGTGGAATCGCAGCCAAAAAACGAAATGATTTTGTTTTAAGCAAATGTGAAAAATTGGAGTCTAAATTGGACTTCAATTGAATTGAGATGTGGGCGGAAAACTTTTTTGACAGATGCATAATGGATTTATGCAAAATAAATTGGGAAAAACATTGCAGAACTTAACTTAGTTCTTAGAAATTACTAGAAAAAATATGTGCATGAAATTCTGTTTACAGAGTAAAATTATCATGAATTTTCCTTCTATCTTGCATTTTAAAAGACATTTTGAACATTTTCTCAAATTATCATGGAAATTGTTTTCCAATTCTGCGTTTGGATCGAGTAGTTTCAGATAAGAGTAAAAGTCTGAAATTGTCTAGTTTCTCTTTTGCTGTTCGCTCGCATGATTTTATTGCTTTTAGTTTCCACTCAAGAGTTTTATTTGCTCTTAATTTTTATTGAAAAAACTCACTCCGATTGTTTTGCTCTCTTAATTATTTGTTTCCCACTCAAACTGAACTAACTGGTTTACTGTTCACTCTCTCTCCCTCTTTTGGTGTTCACTCAAACAGCTGTTGGCTCTCTTATTGACGCCGACAGCTGGCTCTCTGCTGTTTCTACAGACTGCCTCTTGTCCGAATGTGGAGGTAAAAACTGTTTGAATATGATTAAAACTTTGGAATAAACCTGAAATTTCAAACTATATTGGAAATCTAATCAGTTGTTAAGTTTAGCGAACATTTTCATTCAGTTTTCAGCGTTTAATGGACCTGCACTCAATCTCTCTCTCACACAGCTGACAGTGCTTTTCTCCCCCACTTGAAGTCTTTTGACATTGCAGCGCTCTCTCACTCAGCTGGTGGCTGGTTCTCTCCCACTCATATGTTATCTACCTATCTCTTTCTGGCTGCTGCAAATTGGGGTCCAGTAAACTGCTGCTGCTGCTTCTCTGCCAGCTTCGCTGCTGGGTTTGCAGCTGTTTCGCTCATCATATGTTTTCCGTGGCCCCACTGCACCCCCCTTGCAGCATGCATGTGTGTGTATTTGCATTGTGTATACAAAGTCAGCAGCCAACGCTGCAAGAGTTGGTTGCTCTGCTCTAGCTCTGCTTGGGTTTCAGCGCTGTTTTACCTCTGCTCCGTCTCTGCTCCAAACGCAGTGAGTATCTTGATTTTCCAACTCGTTTCGCGCCCCCCAAAAGGCACCCATACATACATAAATGGCTACATATATGTATATAAGTGTGTATGCATGTATTATGCCTTAGGTTTTGTTGCTGCGCTGCTTCTGCTTCTGCCTCTGCCTCTGCTGACTTTGTCGTTTTCTTATTGCCTGCCTGCACACAGTGCACTGTTGCCGATTTTCACACACTGGGCCAGACAAGCCGACTGGGAACGAGCTGCAAAACGGCAACGTTGCTTCTCGTCAACGTTTCATCTGTTTTTCATTTGTGCCTCAGTTTCTGTGTGTGTTGCTGTTTGCTTGTTGTTTTTTTGTTGCTTTGCTGCAAGCATCGCTAGAGAGAGAGAGCGAGAGAGAGAGAGAGAGACCCGGCCGGCCTTTCTCTGCCCGCAGTAAATGCAAAGTTTTGAGCTGATGTTGTACCCTTTCAGGAGATAGCATGACTTTGACCAGCTGTTGGCCAACGCATAAAAGACGAATATGTAAGACAACCATTGAGGTACACAAGTGTAACGATTGATCTGCAAGGGTATCAAAAGCCTCGTTATCCTAAACCTGCCTTCCAGCTCTCTTGCTGTTTCTGTTCTTCGTTTTGCTTATGGGCAATCATCTGTTTTATTCTGTATAAAACCCCACTCCCCACTCGCATGCACATGTGTGTATGTTTGTATTTGCTACAAAGTCATGCCATGTATCTTTTGTATCTTGGTGCTTGTGTTGCATTCGCCGTCAGCTTTTTTTTCCATCAATAGTTCATTTTCTGCCTGGCAACGGGTTCTTTCTTTTTTTCTCGCTCTCTCTCCCTCTCTCTTTCTGTCGTTCTGCTTCTCCCTTTCCCTCTCTCGCTTTTTCTATTTCTTCTCTTCGCGTTTCGACTATGTAAAGTTTCATGAAATTGGAGAAAACATAGAAATGATGAAATTACTGGACATACCCGTACATGTGTTCAGAGAGGCAGCTCTCCTCTTTCCACCTATCCAACACCTACGCTCCATATAACTTTTTGCTGCTACGCTAACTGTCTCCCCCCTCCACACCGCTTCCGAGGATTAGCTTCGCGGGAAAACTATGCAAAATTTGATACAATATGTGCAGATACAAGAACATCTGAACAAGTACAGGAATAGGTACATAAATCTTACATACATATGTACATACATACATATGTGTGCATTGCTGGATGAATGGGACTGGAAGCTGATTGTGACAAACCTGTCATATGAGATCCAACTGAAAAGAGAGCAGTGAACAAGAGAACGGCTGAAAAGAGATGAATAGTGGGAGTGAAAGAGATAGAAAGAGAGAGAGAGAGAGAGAGAGAGAGAGAGTTATGGCAGGAATAAACATCATGCGATTCGAGCCCATTACAAGTACAGCGAATGCGACGTTCTTGCTACTAGGTAGATCGATTTGATTTTGAGATCAGCTAGAAACAATTACCTCCAAGATGGTCTGACTCTGGCACTTCTTATTGGACAACGACAGCACTGATAACAATCCTAAAAGTGCTCGAATGATCGATGTCGATAATGGAAATATGACTAATTCCAGATGACAGGTAAACCACTCATAAATAAATAGTCTGCGTTCAATCGTTGAAGTGAAATTTGTACTTATCAACTTTGTCTTTGTCTTATCAATTGTACAAGTATTGCATCTATTAATAATGTATTAATGATGTCATAAGAAGACTTATAGTCACAATAAGAACAGCTATGACACGTAAGCCCTTCAGAAAATAGCTGAAATCAGAGGAAATTCATCTTTCTATGCAGTTCTCAGAGCATTTATGTAAAGAACGAAAAGGAAAGCGTTCCGTAACCCCTTGCCAAGATCCACATCCCCCCCACCTCACCACAATTAGGGATGCGCATAATAGGCACTCGACTCTTTAATGGACAAACTCTCAGCTGGAGCTGTACGGTAATATGCCAAAAGGGAAATGGACACCATAAAAAAAAAAACGCTGAAAAACGAGGGAAAACAATACGAATACAGCTCAACCCCGAGCAACATACAACTTCCTTTCCAATCAAGGCAATTTATCAATTTAGCACTCAACCCAGTCGGCCCTATCCCTCTATCCCCGTTCCTGTTCCTGTCCCTGGTCTAGTACAACTCTCGACTTTCGATGGGAATGGTAGTGTGACTGACTCTCTGTCGGAGTCGGACGGAGAGTGGTAAGGGAAGGTACGAGCATAGAGCATACCATACCATGTGCCCAACATCTGAACGCTAATCACCCTTAAAATTGCGTGTGTGCGACATCCAAGTCGAAGGTCAGCTCCGTCGACGACTAGGCGAAGACTCTAGAGTCTAGACCCCTGCCCTGCCCGGGCTGTTGACTACGAGAAGAGGTCCGGAACACTCAAATTGAGGGAGTCGGCTCGAAGCCAATAACTAAAAATAGCTGTGAGCTCGCCAGAGAGCACATCAATTCGCTTCCCGGGTCATGTCGCACTAAATCAATTAAACAAATTTGAGTCTATTGAATAGATTTAGCATTGCAGCAACAACAGCCACCACATCTCTTGCCCCTAGCGAGTGTCAACCCGTTCGCTGCGAGTCTGCTCGAGCTGTAGCTTTTGATGGCAGTAATTTATGCAGACCGAAGATACTCGTCGCTTGATTTCCCAAATTGATTTCATCAGCCAAAAGGGTCGTCCCCGCTACCTGATCGGGTTCGAGTTTCTAGGGCCATACCTGAGGTCGAGGCAGGGCCCAAATGATCCGCAAATTTTCCACAATGAATTGTCTGTTGGGTTTTTCCAATGCTTCCCGCTGGAAATGCACTCACATAGCAGCCAAGTGTTATGGCATTAAATTAAGGGAAGGGAAGAGCAGAGCAGAGCAGAGCGATGTGGGTTCGGGTTCGGCTTGAGGGTATAACGTTCCATTAAATGTTCGAGAACTTTCTGCATTGAATATTCCAAACTCAAATATTATAAACAAAAAATATGAGCATTGCGCTAGCTAGGGGCTAGCAATAATAAACATATTTCCCTCAACAGCAAAGACACCCCACAGTTTGTATAAACCTTTTTTAATTATTATTATTACAAACATAATTTGTAAATAAGGCAATATTTGTAGGTATAAGATTTGCTGGTGTGGCGACTTCATTTGAATTTGGTTGACACCGAAATGGAGCTGTATATCATACGATCCACCCTACATAAAAAGAGACGTTTGATATTGATGCTTCTCTACCAAATGTATGTACATATATTTATTTTGTTCCCCACTGTATGAGCCCTTCCTTTGTTAACCCACTGTCTATCACTCTGTTCGTAGATCAGTCCAAGCATTCATTCCATTCCCTTTGTTAGCCCACTGCCTGTCAAGGAGTCAGTTCTTTATGGGTCGGAGGAGGTAGGTCGTTGTTTTGTCGCCTATTTGTCTACAAGATGTTCAATACGATAGCGATAGCGATACCACAGTGCAATTTGCGATTGTCTGAATATCAGTCAACAGTTTTCGCAACAAATATTTGCCCACCCCGAGGAAAACTTATCTAGGTCCCAGCAACTACTCCTATAAAGAGCTCCCAACGACGACGAATCGTCTGACTGATTTCGTGTAAATGTATAACGAAGTGTGGGAGCGCTGGATGGGTGTACGTATACGTATACGTATGTACCTGTGTATACACATATCAAAAGAATATTAAATCAATATTCAACGGTGCTAGGCTGGGCTAGGGAGAATATGCGTCACGTTCCCATATAGCACTCTGCTCGTACGAGCAGCTCTCTCTCTCTCTCCCCCTGACTCCTAGTTTTATGGCCCTTTGTCTTCGATGTGTGTGTGTGTGTGTATCTGTGTGAGTGAGTTCTGTGGAATGGGCAAGGTCGCGTGTTTTATCGCCAACATTTTGCACTTCAGATACGCTGAAATGGCGTGGCCCCATAGGACCCACACAACCACCAACCAGGCACAGCCGACATGTCCCAGACCGCGTAGACAAAGCGTCTGCCTGCCCAGTTTTGCAACCTTTGCGAACAAAGACTCTTCGTTTGGGCCCAGATTAGATCATTGGGCAAAAAACGATACTGCAATACTGATAGCGACTGATAGTGGGCACTGCAAAAGTGTGTCACGCTCGCCGAGCCTCCGTTTCGAAGCAGGAAGTGGATGCCAGTCATAGAATGGAGAAACAGTGGCCAGATCGGTCGCCGATTTCATCAGTCCAGAACTGAGCCCATGGCAACCCAATTGGCATTAGTCAACCCACAGATGGGTCGAGTTTTTCGCGATGTCTTTCGCTTGAGTATTTCGTCAGCCGTGGGGCTCGTGTCGAGGGACACGTCAGCCCCCAGACCCGTCAGGCAGCCAGCTACGGAGACGGCGGAACATCAGAGAAAGAGAGTGAGAGAGAGCTGCTCCAAGGGAGAAATCCATTTACGTAAGTCACAGAACGAACCTCCGAACCCACAGCCAATGGGAGCCTGGCCACCGCACAACAGCTGACTCGTGACTCAAGTTTCGGTTTCAGTGCGAAATACTCTCCAGCGTATGATTTATGCATGGCTACTGCAGCGAGCGATAAGCAGCATAGATATAGATTCACGTATTGATAATAATTTCACAATTTAAAATTATTAACCATTTACTCTTTACTGGTTTTAATTAATTGTCTAAGGGATTATTTTCTGGGGGAAACCGATTCAGATATATCCTCTATTAGATGCAGATGTACATTTGTATACATTAACTCTTTTCCATTAGAATAATTTCTTTTTTATTTATTCATTTATCCCCAGGCATATTAGAGATTTAATTTTCAAATGTTAGAAATTAAATACTTCAATAGAATCAGTTAATTTCTTATAGCTTTATTATAGTATTATTTGCAGATGGGTAAAACGAGGACGGTTTCTCCTTATGTACATACATTTCATACGCAAACAAAAAAACGTTTTAATGGCTACCCATGGCTATCAGAAGATCTGTTCAAACAGTTTAATATGCACGGTTCGCCAGAAATTATACCCCCAGCAGTGGACAGTTTGCTCAATGGAGCACCTAATCTAAATATATATGTACTGTATGTAGATATGTATATGCATATTTGGACTCCACAGAGCGCATGATATTACCCGACTCAATTTTGCAAATCAAAGCGCTTTTCTAGTTTTCCATTATTGTTCTATAAATACAGCAACAGCAACAGCAAAAGCAAAGCAAAGAAAAAAAAAACAAACAACAGATTGAAAGTGAAGCTTTTAATACACTGAACTTTTAATCAGAATCCATTAATGTTAGCTATAGCTGGCTATATCGATCAAATCGGTTTGTGTTCCCTGTTATATAAACAATTTAGTGGCATATGCAATAATATTTAATCAAGAGCAGGCGTTCTTTAGACTTTAATCTACAAGGCTTTGGTTGGTGATTATGCAATGGAATATTCTTATATTTCAGAACACAGCCTGAAGACCTTGTAGGACTGTAAGTACTGTAGGATTAATCAGGACAAACCAATAATCAAAATGTAAGTATTCCTCCATTCGACTATAATCTGTTAATATTAATGGAAACCCTTCTCTCGGTAAGGGTATGAAAAAGAGGCTCGCGCTGTCATGATTTTCACACACAGCTGCAGACAGACACACACACACATTGGGAAATAATGAGTGTATCGGAAAAGTGAAATAAAATAAAATAAAATGATAGGCAAACAGCAACTGGCAAAAGTGATTATATAAAAGCCGTTACCAGCAAAGCCGCGAGCAAAAAATAAAAAAAAAATGTTGGAAAAAGGGGAGAAAAAAAGAAAAAAGAAAGACCCAAAGAAAAAACCGAGAATAATGCCAAAGAACGATTTCGATTTATCAGCAAAAAAAAAAAAACAGAAGAAACGGTTGGAGAGGGAGAAAATACGCGTTTTTATCTCACTGCTCAATTGATTTACATAATCAACGAAATCGCCTTTTATTTCGCTGCCCCTCCGGCAATCCTCGCCCCACATACACGACAGCGCCAACCCCTTTTGCCCGATTCTCTGTGCATTTAATTAAATGCTGATTAAGTTTTATTCAATGGAGCACACAGATACACATACAGATACACAGAGCGACCGCCCCACACAGAGAGTTGTGGGATATACAATAGTACAATGGGATGGGGATAGTACGTATACGTACAGTATGCCAGTATACAGAATACGAGCCGATGGTGATGTGTGGCCCGTGCATAGATTCGTAGATTAGTCATTGATATTGGACAACGTGCTCGCATCGAGGAAGGAGGAGTCCGGTTCGGCGCATTTGTAAACGTGAATAATTTAATAACGTTCTCATTAAGATAATGAAATTAGTTCAAATAGTCAACGCTCAACGGCGGCCAGCAACGGTCAGATAATACAGCTGCATGCCAATACACTTTGATTGGAATGGCTTTTTGCATATATATATACATACGAGTAGAAAAATGAAAAGATGCATAGTTCTATGTATGTACGTATGTACATGCTCTCCGTATGCTTACAGCTGAGGGCTGTTCATATCTCGCTTGTTCTCCCATACATTCAAGAAACTTGTAAGCATTGCATAAACATAAATACATAGAACTTGCACACATATACATATATGTACACCTATATCGTATGACAGTTGGGTTCCTCATTATATTCAGACTTCAGGCAAAGCTACAAAGGAGCAGACGAGCCGAGCATGTGCGTAAATCAGATGTTCAACTATCTGATAGTAGGTACAAACATATGTGCATATAAGTTACCGAATTCAGCTCAAATCATTAATTTGAAATTAATTGGTAAATGTGTAATTTAATTCCAATTAAAGCTGGTATTTATAAGGATCCGTTTAATACATTTCCTTTATTCTAAAATAAGCTATAAAAGTATTCTTTGCCAAGAACTCATACATTTATTTTTTAATATATGTACCCACCCTCTATTTTTTTTAATTTAATATTTTCACACCCACTCTTTCGCCTTTGATCTTTACCAGCTTCCTTATTAAGCGAACCAATTGTGTAGAATTTCTTAAGATCGCATGCCGTGGGGAGAAACTAAAAAACGGAAACATTATTCAATTTAATCTTATTTGATGGGCATTATTTTGTGAAAATCTGCGCCCCACCAATATAATTAGAATTAATTTTAATATTTTAAGAGGATTACACACATATATTTGGTTTGATAATATCCAATTATAGATTGCGGAGAGTTAAACCATAAATTAACGAGCGATACATGCACTGTAAATTGAATAAATATACATAAGTATATACATATGCATACATACTCGCATATATGAAGTTGGCAAAATTCGATTTGCATATTAAACAGGTTCATATACATATGTATATTCGATTCACTAATCGAGTTATCGAGAGATAAATATCTTCTGTTTGGGAGGGAGGGAGGTAGCGTGTGAACCGAACTTTGTCAATGAAGAGCCAAAAACTTTGGATAGACTTGGACTTGGAAATATATTATACCTTTTGCATCCGTAAACTGTAAGTAACTGGAAAGCTTCACACAGCAGTGTGTGTATGCCCCGCATCCCCGCACACCACACATCCCCATGCAGAGAGCGATGCGATGGCGATGGCGACCCAAACGACTCGACCCACACAGCTGGGGCCATAAATCAGGGGAAAACTGTTGCCGTTGGCAAACTTGCCGATAAGCAGAAGGTGGGAAAACTGTTGAATTATTTCCCAGGGCACACGCACACACTCGCTCGGACAGGGGACTACACATTTTCACACTCTAAGCCAAAGCCGAGGCCGAAGCCAAAGCCGGTAGACAATAAACTGCAAAATTCGCATAAAATATTGTGAGGAAATTAGAACAGAAGCATATCTAATGCTAGAGTCCGGAGAAGGAACCATGAGCCATGTGTGTGTGTGTGTGTGTGTGTGTGTGTGCGTGTGTCGTTGAGGTTACCTCAAGGAACCCATAAATCCTGCTCAGGGGAAAATCTCCGAGGGAAAACAAAAATAGAAAATGTGTCAATGCAAACAGGCAGAGACAAAAGCGACCTGGCCATAACTGGCAGATGGGGAGGGCTCGTCGCTGTTGTTGCGTTTGGGTTTGGGTTTGGGTTTTGGCCATCGACACCGGATCGGTCCACTTGGTCCACAGTGAATCTGTGCCATAAAAAGGCCCTGCCACTGGCAGTCCCTCCCGCTATCAGCAAAGTCTCTATGGACCCGGCTCGTTCCCATCGCATGCAATGCACTCGTTAAGAGCACAGACCCCGGCAACGGCAACGGCCACGGCACCGGCTGACACTTGGACATGGGAAGCGGTGGAATGGCGGTGGAAATCGATTTCTGTGCTACCTGCGGGTCTCAGATCGGTTCCGTTCGGTTCGGTTCAGTTTGGGATGGGACGAGACCAGACCAGACCAGACCAGACCAGACAGGGGTGTTATACGTAGTACCTGTCCCTTGCAACTAATGGCCAGTCGACCGCGCGACCAACATAAATCCATAAAAACACACAAAACACACACACAAAAAGGTAAAAACGAGAGAGAGGGAGAGAGAAATAATTAAATTGCAATTATGTGCAAACAATTCCAAATCCGGACGATTCCGAAAAAGTTAATTACACGACAATAAAGAGCAGAAGAGTGGTCTCTGGTTTCGGGTCTCAGTTTTAGTTTCCAGCAGCAGCAGCAGCTTCAACGGCAGTACCCGACTCTCTCTCTCTCTCTCTCTCTCTGTGTACCATTCTGAACACCAACGCAAAGAGCTACTCTACCCACATCCGTAGGTTGATTGGTTCGGTTCGCAGAGAGGATGAAAATGGTGGATGGCGGAGGATGGCGGAGGATGGCGGAGGAGAGAGCACTTTGCATTCGGACGCGGACTCGACTTAAGCCGACATTAATGGGTATTTGAATGTGGCTTCTGGTGCTGGTTTAATCGGTTTGCTTGACTGATGCCCGGTGACACGTCGTCCACATTATCATTAGCGTCTGGGCCTTGACTCAGTCAGCCGCCAGCCGGCAGCCCCATGCGGATGATCGCAATTTATCTGATTTCGCGACCACCGTCACTACTTACTGCTGCCTGCCTGCGACTGCCTGCTGCTATCATCAACGAGTGCTCTTTGCTCTTCGCTCTGGGATCTGGTCTGGTCTGGTCTGTACTGCTCTAGTGTGTTGTGTTGTGTTGTGCCTTGCTTTGGTCTGTCTTCCTACTAATGAAGACGGACGGACAAATTAGTTATGGTCTTATGATAAATTAGCCCGATCCAATTGCCTGCAGTCGGACAACCGGGAAACAGTGGAGTGGACAGTCGTCGAATTAGTGACAAGATCGCACAGTGCAGCACTAACGACTCGAAGACAACAACTTTCCGATGCTGGAGATCGCTTCGAGGGGGCCATTGAGTGCGATTAAATTAAATGCATATTTCTGTGTGTTCTGCAGTCATTTGCCAGTGGCTTGTCTCAGCTTGGAGTGGCTAAGGAGAGATGGGTGTTGTGCTGGCTCTATTGGCGTTTGTCTGTGGCTACGATAAGGTTCTGTTCTGTTTGCGTCAGTGGAATGAGGTGGAACGTTAGATAAGTGCGGGACCAGCCTTAGGGTAGGGTCAGGTAATATTTACAGTCATATGGTTGGGCAAATGGCTTGCTTATATGGTGTGGAGTGCCAAGGGATGCCTTACCTTATGCCTTAGATCTCCAAACTCCGAGCAACCTTGGCCAAACATTTACCCAACCAGCAGGGAAAACCCCAAACTATAACTAGATTACCCAACTCAGTCGAAAGTTTAAATGTTAGTAGAGCAGGTCAGCCAACCCCACAGAAAGACGACTGACTGACAGTTAGGGGGGCGCCCCCAGAGCCCAGAGTTAGGGAAAGTTTAATTAGATCTGCATACGGAATGAACGACCCCGTACCATACATGTCCATGTCCGAGTCCGAGTCCGAGTCCGTGTCCCCTAAAAGCAGGTTAACGAACTGTCAGAGCCGGGAGCCGGTGGCAGTCGTGTGTCTGCTGCTGACAGGATGCGCTGGCTCTGGCTCTGGCTCTGGCTACTGGGACTGGTGACACTGGCTAAGGGCTGGACAGGACTAACGAGTCCCCAGCCGCTGGATGGCTATCAGGCTGGCCTCAAGCAGCTGCTGCAGAAGATTCTGTGGGCGGCCAACGTGCAGAGATGCTTCGGTGTCATCACCGATGACCTGCACTATCCCATCTACGATCGGGGTTTCTTTGAGTCCGTGGGTCGCCAGCTGGTGCCCTGCTATGTGGTGCGAGTGAATGCCAGCGAGGATCTCGGCCGGCTGCCCGGCCACTTGGAGCGCGTGCTGCTGGCCATCAAGGCCAGAGACTGCGAGCTGCACGTGATCACCGTCCTCAATGGCTGGCAGGTGCAGGGCCTGCTCAGGTTCGTCTATGACCACAGGGCCCTGAACATGCAGAGGAAGTTCCTCCTGCTGCACGACTCGCGGCTCTTCGCCCCGGACATGCTCCACCTGTGGACCGTCTACGTGCGCAGCGTGTTCCTCAAGCGGCAGCTGGATAACAGGTAAGCGGCGGGGTCACGTATATACCCAGATGTTTGATTTGGGGTTTGGGGCCCATCTTACAGATTCCAAATTTCGACGGTGGCCTTTCCGGGAATTTTGAGCGGCGTTTTGGTGCTTCGAAATCTGGCCACTTGGGAGCTGGGTAAACGCATCAATGGAAGGATTCTGTTTGTGGACAATACGAGGGATCTGAAGGGTGAGTCTGCCATTGAGAACTTTATGCCAGCTTCCACTTGCCGCCTACTCCAAAGGGGCCGCACTGCCAGTGGCTGTGGTCGAGCATGTGCCCATGGTGCAGTGGTCGAACACAACGAGCAGCTACCAGGGCGTGGAGGTGGACATTATGAATGCTTTGGGCAAGGCACTGAACTTCCAGCCGGTCTACTATCGGCCGAACGTGAGCGAGGAGTCGGACTGGGAGCAGTACGACGTGGCATATGGGGAGAACAAGACCCACATAGACTCCAAACTCATTGCGGAAGTGGTAAGCAGTTGCAGCGTTGCGCCTTCCGAGAAGATTTAACTCTGGAACGTCCCACGAACAGGCGCTGCACGGTGCCCGGTTCGCCATTGGCGATCTGCACCTGTTCGAGGTATACCTGCGGCTGGTGGAGCTCAGCCTGCCGCATAATTTCGAGTGCCTGACCTTCCTCACGCCCGAGTCGTCGACGGACAACTCCTGGCAGACCTTCATACTGCCCTTCAGCGGTGGCATGTGGGCTGGTGTCGTGCTCTCCCTCTTCGTGGTGGGCACCGTCTTCTATGCGATTAGCTTCTTGAACGCCATCCTCACGGGCAGCGGCCAGGCGAGCTTCTCCCGCTGCTGCCGCACTCGTGGAGAGCCGCTGGACCCAAGCACCTATCGCCGGCTGAGCTTCCGCGCAGCCCTCAGCCGGTATCGTCCGCCTCTGGGTGCTGGCAAGCATCGCGATCTCTTCGACGACTATGCCACCTGCATTCTGCTCACCTACAGCATGCTCCTCTACGTGGCGCTGCCTCGCATGCCACGCAACTGGCCGCTGCGCGTCCTTACTGGCTGGTACTGGATCTACTGCATCCTGCTGGTGGCCACATACCGGGCCAGCTTTACCGCCATCTTGGCCAACCCGGCAGCAAGGTAACACCGTCACTTAAATTCGAATTGGGTTGCTGATTATGATCAATAATTATTGTACGTATTGCTAGGGTAACCATCGATACGCTGGAGGATCTGCTGCATTCGGGTATACCGCTCAAGACTGGGGCGGCCGAGAACAGGCAATTCTTTGTGGACGCCATCGATGAGGTGGCCCAGAAGGTGGGCGCCCAGATGGATGTTCTGGCTGACAGCGAAGATCTGGTAAGCAGCCCCTATGGGGCCATTAACCAAATCAGATTTTGATTCGATTCGACAGCTCCAATAGAAATCATGTCACCCTTGACCCTTAGCAGAGACTTCTCCACTATCTATGGCATGTTATGGGATTTCAATTTGTTTTATTATTATTTGTATTTATGATAAGCAAAAACCAGTTTCAGCCTGTGCGAAAAGGCAGCTACTACTGCTCGTATCTTATCTGTTCGCTAAGCAGATACAGGAAAGTTTAAAGCAGACAAATCACTTTGAAATGACACAGACAATACACAAATATATAAATATTATTATAAGTTAGTTGGATCGCCCAATGAGATCACCCAATGAGCAGAAACTGTTCAATTGGAAAACCTTTCTTGATTCACAGACCGCTCGCATTGCCAAGGGTCAGTGCGCCTATTACGACAATGAGTTCTATTTGCGTTATATGCGCGTGGCGGACGGTGTGGCCGGAGGCGTGGGCTCCGCCCTGCACATCATGCGGGACTGCGTCGTCCACATGCCCGTCGTGCTGGCCATGGAAAAGAACGCCGCGCTGAAGCAGCGCGTGGATAGCTCCCTGCAGCACATGACCGAGGCCGGTATGCTACACCCAGCTGATCCTTCCCACCTAGATCCTGACTCACCCTCATAGCCCGTTCTTTGGCAGGTCTGATAGCCAAATGGCTGAAGGATGCAATCAAACGACTGCCGGCCGAGGCACCTGCCCAACAGGAAGCCCTCATGAATCTCACCAAGTTCTGGAGCTCCTTCGTGGCCCTGGGCATTGGCTATGTGGCATCGATTCTGGCACTTCTCTTCGAGCATTGGCACTTCAGGCACATCGTCATGCGGCATCCCATGTACGATGTCCTCAATCCCAGCTTGTACTATAACTTTAAGCGCCTGTATCCAGATTAATAACAACAACAAAAATATATGATTTTAATTTTCATTTTAATGAACTATAAATTACTGCGATATGTGTGGGACAAATGGGAATTTGTACATTGAGATTGCACAAGCACTCGAGATCCAGTGGCACACCCTCCGCCATCAAGGGATGATATATGTACAGATGTACGAGTATGTACGAGTATGTTCGAGTATGTACGAGTATGTGGAGGCATGGCATCCACTTACGCAATGCTTATAATTACCAGCGGCAGATGACAAATGTTTGGGGGTACTCGAAACCGAATGGCAATCGAAAAGCTGAAAAGTCTTCATTGACGCACTACAAAAAACGAAAAAAAAAAACAAAAAGGAAGAGGAATATATTTGGGGGGGTGGCGCATCGCATCGCATGGACATAATGCCCCATATATCATGACGGGCCGAGTCCAAGTGGCCTCAAGTACCAGCAATGTGGTGAATAAATTCCAAGAGCTTTGGATCCGCCTTCAATCAACTTTTTGTAAATAATGATTTGCATTGTTTATGAGTTAATGCACATTAGGCATTATTTGTTTATGGCCATCGACTCCGGCCTATCACACAAATCCTGCGATTTCGTGCCCCAATCGGATGCTAAATGCTAAAAGCCCATAAATAAACCGCTTTTAAGTGCCGGACTAAACCCAAACAGACAAAGACCACAAACATTTCTACACATACAAAACATACATACATATGTACATATATAAAAACGATTCCCCTTCTCTATGAAGAGCAGTGTGGAGATATGGTCGGATAGTGCGGTGCGGGCTGCGGCACTCAGGAGCACTTCATAATCAGAATTTGAATCAGAATCAGAATCCAAATGGTAATGGGCATCAGAATGGGGATTGGGGAATGGGGGGTAATGGCTGGTAGCCACTAAACCAGACGTGCTAATCCATAAACAATGCAAAGGTTAATAACAATCATAATAATTAATAAGCATTTGTTTGGCCATCTCTTTAGCAATATTTTAATAATTCTTTGTTCTTTTTTGGTTAGGAACAAATAAAAAATATAAAATAAAGTGCCAGACTACGAAAGAAAGAGAAGCATGTACATATTTACATATGTATGTATGTTGAAGGTAAACAAATTTAACCCAATCGACAGTTCAGTTCCTAATGGTTCTGGGAAATCAAATTCTTTGCCAATCTGGCACTGTAAAAATATATTTCAATATAGTCTCTATTATTGGGTTGCAGTCCATTTAAATAAGCCTAATAATTGATATAAAAATTAATGACATGCCATAGCGCGTATGCAAATATTTATTCATAATTATTTTCAGCTAAACATTTCTAAAATGTTTTTATATTTTCGTCTGACTCAATGCATATGCGAATTTGTTTCGAAACATTTACTAGTTGCATTGCAAAATATTTTTAATTTGATTATTTCTGGGCTTCGAAGCTGTTCTTTTTTTTCACCATGAAATTGTTTCGTTTTGTTTCTCCTCCTTTGATAAATATTTATGGGGTGTTTTATTTGTTTTGCCTTAGCTGGGAGCTTGTTGTTTTCATTTCTATTTTTCATATAATTTAATTAGTTTTGCTTCATTTTATTGTGCTATTTGTTGGCCTCTCCAGCGCCCTCTTCTCGCCCTGTTCCATACCATGACTCCCTCTAGTTATCTCATCCATCATGGGGCCGGCCAGTCTCCACATTACTCTCACACCAAGAGTCAGGGAAATTCTTGTTATTCACACTGCTACCCCTTACACATGGGGGGGTATTCAGGGCTAATATAAGAATGGAGCATACGAACATCATGAGTAGATTTCGATTCAGACTCAACTGACGCTGGAACATTGTAAAATTATTAAATAGTTCTATCCATCTATCTTCCCTAGGGGATACTTTATAATGAATCTATCATCTTCAATTAATTATGAACACAAGCCAGTACGGAGTATCTAACAGCGGACTACCTCTCCTTTCATTGCATCATTCTTTCCACTTGTTTGGTTTGTTTTTGTTGCGCTCTGGATGTTACACAAAATCTAATTGACGTTTCCTTTATATCCCACCAACACCGCCCCCCCTGCCTCCCTTAACGAGACAAGACCAGCAAATAGCAAATAGCAAACAGCACCCACACTCCAGTCTGACATTCCCCTGGACTTTTACAGCAAATCTTTCTTCGTTTTTGTTCAGTAATTAAAATTCAGATATTGTTTATCTGAGAGTTGTTCGCATATTACAAATTCCGCTTTTGTGCTTTGTTTACATTCGTCCGAAATACATTCATACTTTTACGAGTATTCACGTATTGCATTTGCTTTCGTTACACTTTTAACCTTGAACTAAGTTGGGGTAGAGTTGGTGTATCACCACTTGAAGGTGGTCGAGAGCGACTACAACCTATAGAGAGAGTTTATATTGTTAATTTTACTATGAATCAACTAAGAATGTCTATTAAATATTTAAAAAGATTAAAAATGTATCCAGCGCACGTCGTTCTACACTTTGTATTCCTTACTCCAGATTTGTTTCACATTTATCCTGTCAGAGAGCATTATCTCCATCCGTTGATAAATCAAGGCTAAAACTTGAAGGCTAAATGTTAACCTAGAACCCTCGTAGAACTGCCAAATTCATTGAGCTTACCAAATAATTCCCATTCAATCGAATAAACGTATTTTGCAACATGTATATGTATGTATAGTATTTTTCATTCGTTTATTTTTGTTTATCTAAAAATATTCGCGAAATCAAATAACAAGAAATAGGACACAATACGGTAAACAATTCGTTCATCTTTGTTTAAATACTTAAAATATACAAATTTAAAAAATGTTTTATAGACGGCTGTTGATCAGTTTTACTTGTTTTTGCATTAAAAATAAACTTGTTTTTTAAATATTAAATAATAGATGTGTTAAAATCAGGCAACTGCTCGGGGAACCCTTTTCCAATGGTATGATAAATATAGTGTGCTGGATCTTCGCTATTCCATGGACTGTCCTTCAGTTCTATTCGTTTAAAATCTGATTAACTATCCCAGATGAACCCAGATAAAGGCCAACAAGCAGTTGCAAATATTTAAATGGACACCGAAACCACTGCACTGCCCTGACTGTTGCACTAATTCCGTTTGCTGTTTCGAAAGAAATACTTAAACAATTTAGTTTAGTTTAGTTTAAAAGCAAATACCACATATGCTCCGTAAATAAACTAGATCTTTGCAGATACTCTGCAGATCTGGTGTACAACTAGTGTTTCCATTGCATGTTCGCACATACATATATAAAACTAGATCATATCATAATTAGTTGTGTAAGCTACCTTCCATTGCGTGTTCGCACATACATACATAGGTATATCAAAAAAACCTACAGACATGGGCTCATGAGTGACTACCAAAATCCTACCAAAAAATGAACTAATTCCTTGCATTTCTTATAAGCAGATACCAGATCGAAGAGACAACTGATCATAGCACAAATTACAAATTAATTCAATTCCTTGTGGTCCTTGATCAGCACTTCTTATAATACAAAAATATTTGCGTAGCACTGGAACTGACCGAACTCGAACCGCTGACAATATGGAGGGCCACTACTGAGTATTAGTTTTCATTAGAGTGTATTGCACCATAAGCAAAATGATTGAAGAAACTTCAATTTGTTTTCCAAACTGAATCAATGGGGTTAAAATCTTTGTTGTTGTTCTTTTAAAACTAAGAAACTTTCTGTTACAATCTCCTTTTTTGAAAAAATAACATTTTTTTTTGTTTCTGCAAGACAAACATTTTTGAACAGTTTTCTTTTTTGGATCTTTTGAACAAACATTAATGTTTATGGCATTTTGGACAGCATCATCTATCGCTAAGCATATTCAGTATTCAGTTTATTTGGTTATTCGATGATTCGATTGCGCTATTCAAAAATATAAACGTCATACAAATAAATCGAACGGGCAGAATGAAAAATATCTAGATCAACTTAGAGCAGGTTATTTCTATGTCGCATCATCGATCTCGCTAAGAAATACAATATGTTGTACATAGTATATATCTGTATACATATATACTTAGTTATGTATATATCGAATCTATATATCACTGTTGCTGGTTCGCTTTGTGTTGTTGTTCTTGCGGCCTACTCGGCGCACTGTGCTGCAGACTCGGCCGACTCCGTCTCGAACACATCATCGGACTCCTGGCCGACATAGTCGTACTGCTGCTGCTCGTCTTCGTCTGCCTCCGCCTCATCGTTCTCATCATAGTCGTCCATATATGCGCCATACTCTGAGGACTCACCAAGCGTCCAGGCGTCGTTTTCCACAGAGTTTCGAGGACTGTAGCCGTGGCCCCCGCCCGTGATAGTCATATTGTTGGTTGGGCGCAGCACACTGTGAAACACAAGGAGTTCGGGATTAGTATTTCTTCATCAAAGTATATGGACAGTACTGTAGTATAGCTGATCTAAATGTATTCATGTATATATATAGTTTGAAATGCAAACAATTTGGATGGGTGTTCATGTCGGGTGAGTTTACCTCTAGAGAGGTCTAAAGAAAGCGTTTAATCGTTGTCTAGTATGTGGCTGGGTGATGTTAGCTTGGTCTACTGGCTGTGTTAACTGGCTGCCATCGTTAATTGTGTTAGGGGGGTGTTGGCATGGGTAGATGTGATGTCGGTTAAGTTACGAACAGGACAAACATTTGTACAACAAACAAATTTTAGTATTATTAGGGAACAAACTAGATGTAAAATATTCTGTTTATGTGGCTGGCTGGTTAGATACGTTAGAAGAGTTGCAGCAGGAAGATCACTTTGGGATTTCAATGATTTTTACTAAATTTCGAACAGTGTTATTCCCATAATTCTCATCTACAGGCCAATCAGTATCAGTATTCCACCCATGATATATGTATGTACTTATGCAAGATTCTCGTGATATATTTATGTCAGGTTAGAGTTAGAGTTGATGCAGTTTGGTTATTGATTTTCGATCTTCAAGAGCACTTTGCGATTCGATTGATCAGCCAAATAAAATAAATCAAATGAAAGCCGCGCACAAGACAAACAAAACTAACGAACTGACAGAACAAACTGGTCGAGACAATTGCACAACTGCACAAAACAGCAACAAAATTATGGATATTTATGCATAAAAGTCAACAGTATAGTATTTATACAACATGTTCTGAGTGACTTCTCTATTACATTGGCAGCTCATGGCTGGCAGCAAGGCTTCGGGGTCGTTGTCGTTGTTGCTATCGTTGCATGTGTTGCAGCAAAAAATCGTATCTGATGTATACCACGAGAGATAGATAGATCGTTGTTCGTTTCGATTCGATTCGATTTTGGTGACTGTTTCTAACACTAGAACTGTCTCTAGTGCTCCAATCTGATGTGGCTCTCTGGCTGCTGCTGTTGCATCTGCTTCTGCTCTCGCACCGTGTGTGTGTGTGTGTGTTGTTAGATCATGTGGCATGTGTTGGTGGTAGTGGAAAGTATTTGGTTTGGTTTTCTTTTTGGTTTGTTGGTGGAAAGATAGCTGATTGAATGTTTGGTTTTGCTTTCTCAGAAGTCGGTAACTAGCACGCCCTCCGCAGGTCATAACTGTCCACGGCGATAGTGAGAGCGTGATGGTCTACCAATTCGATTCGATTTGATTCGTTGTAGGTGTAGGGTGTCGAGTGTCGAGTGTTGGTTGGGTGTACAGAAATTAAAAGAGAAATAAATCAATTAGCGAAACAATAATTACAGAATGTTGCTTCATGTACAACTTGGTTCCTGAATTTACTGAGCGGTGTTAGGATACAGATTTCAGATTCAGATTCAGATAAGACGCTCGTTGGCGCTTGCTTGGCTACAGAGCATTTACTGAGATTAAATCAAAGGCACAAAAGGAAATCATAAGTATCAGCTAAAGGGTGTTTCATGAGAGATATTGGAGTAGTAGTTATAGGATTATAGATAGATAGCTATACGTATTAATTGACTTGAGTGGCTATGGCCGAAACGCACCTTTACCTCTAGCCGCGATATTACCCACAACCTTAGGCTAATAAGAGAACCAAAATAAATAATGTTACAAATCAAATTGAATAACAATTCAACAGAGTTCTGCTTAAGCTAGTTACATATGTATATTTACTAGAGCAGAAAGTATTTATTGATAGAATAAATATTATATGAAGACAGTGAACTAGAAATCTAGGAAACTGAAGCTCCATCTAGAGAGCTGTGGCTACGCGAAGTGAAATCTAAGCAGCTACCACAGATGTGTATATACGTATCCCCTTTTAAAGTATTAGCCACAATTGACATTTAAGTGGGATCTAAATGAGACAGCACTGATGCTGTAGAGCTAAGGATAATATTCCGGAATGATCTTAGCAAAAGTTTCTCTAGAGAAATGCCTAATTAAACACAAATAACTATTATCTCAAGCTATATCTTCACTGGAAACTCATTAATGTATTTCCGCTGATACCTTTTAAGGGAATTCTTCAATTGCAAAGAGTATCAATCTGTTAAAAATAATAGGAAAGGATTAAAGGGCTTCAAAATAGAGACGCTTTCTATATCCTTAAATTCACATCTTTTCCTTGACTAATATAAACTCTGGACTATTTCAGTGTAAGTAATATTTGTCTCACCAAAAGTCTATAAATAACAAATACAAAACTAGTTCCTAACGTAATATTTATTGGAATAGAACCTTAATTAGTAAAAGAAAATCGCTGGATAACTTAGCGCCTAAAAACCTTTGAAATAGTTTCATTAAATATGTTCTCCTTGATCCTAATTCGTAGAACAAAACACTCTAGTATTTGGGGGGAACGACTAGGACTAAGGGGGGATTTAACACATTTGGAATCACCTACAGAGATCTAATTTTGGAGTAAGGGAAACCCTTGGACCTTTGCCCCTGCCACTTGGCGGACCATCTAAATTACCTCTCGAAAGGCAGTTCATCGGCCTCGTCGTTCATCTGTTGCTGACTTTGCGTCTGGTTCTGGGCACGACGCGCTTCCTCCTTCTTGCGGCGATCCTCTGCTGCCGCCTTCATCGGATCGTAGGTGGAGCGTCGCTTCCACATGGCCATCTCGGCCTCCTTCTGCTTGTTAACTGCAAGATTAGTGCATTATGAGTGTTATTTAAATTGTGGGATATATAATGCCAAATAGATCCACTAACCTGAGGCATCGCGTCGGGCAGTGGACGAGGCCCGGTTGCCGGAATTGCCGCCGCCTAGGGATGTGGTACTGGTATTCATCGCGGAGACGGTGCTCCGCACGCTGCGATTACTGGCACGGGTTCCCTCGCCTCGGCTCAGGCCCATGGAGCTGGCACTGGGACTGCGCTTCATCTGGTCCGCCGGCTTCAGCGTGCTCTTGGCATCGTTCTTCCGCAGAAAGCTGTTGGACTGCGCCGGCTTGTACTTTGAGATGTCCATATACTTGGGCTGCACTCGCTGTTCCCTGGCAATGGCGGCCACGCTGGTGTTGGCCGTCTGCAGCAGCTGCTTCTTGGCATTGGCCAGGGAGCTGGGCACCTGCTGGGCCAATCGACTTAAGCTCGTCTCGCGCGGCATGGACTGTCGGGTCTTGGGTGCCGAGCCAGGCGCCGCTCTCGAGACACTCCTGATGCCGCGTCGCGGCAATTCGGGCGTGTTGGGGCATGCCACGAGGCCTGCGCCTGCCTGGGCGGTGCTCAGCTTGCCAGCCGGCGCTGAGGAGGGTTTGGCTTGGGTTTGTCCCGTGCCCGCCACACGCTGCTTGCTCCGTTCGATGCGCATGAGCAGGGCCTTGTTCATTCGCGTGTTGGTGAGCGGCACCGAGCCCTGGGACTCCTCCACCTCGTCCTCCTCGTTGCTGGAGTAGTAGGCGCCGGTGGTGCCCAGCTCGTCCTCGTCGTTGATGTAGTACTGCAGCTCGTTGTCGTAGTCGCTGTACGCCTGGTCAAAGTTGTTGCTGCTCGCCGACTTCTTCAGCTGCTGGATCATGCTCAGGGCGTGGGCATGACGGGCCGCGGGTGGCGTATACAGGTTCTGGAAGTTGGGACGTGCCTGCCGCACTGGATGCTGACCCTGCCCCTGCTGCTGCTGGAAGCTGCTCGATCGACGCAGCGGCGACAACGGGGCGGCCGACTCTGGCGGCGCCTTCTCGTAGTCGTGCTCGTGTCGGTACAAGTGCTCGACCTGCTCCACATCGTCCAGGGAGTTCTTGCGGCGCCGCAGCTGCTTCAGGAGATACTCTCCGCTGGTCAGCAGCTGCAGCTGCGCCTCGTTGATGCTGCTGGTCATGAGCGCTCGGTGCAGCGGGGATCTCCGGTAGCCACCGCCCGCCCCTGCCTCCAGGCTGTGCTGCGGACTGCTCTGGGCTGGCGACTTCACGGAGCTGCGGCGCGACAGCGACTGCTGCAGATTGCTAATGGCCGCCGCCGTCTGCTCCAGATAGGCATCGGTCTGCGGCCGCGAGCGGCTGGCACTGCGCCCACGTCCCAGCGTGTGCAGCGGCGAGGGTATCTTGCTGGGGCTCTTGGGCGGCTTATACGGCGGCTCCACCGCCTGCCCCGGCCCCAGTCCTCCTCCGCCCCCGTGACTGCACAACGCCGGATCGCTGGCGTAGTCGCAGTCGCCCAGCAGCCGGTAGCGCTCCGCTAGACTGCGATTAAGCTTGGCGGCGGCCGCATACTGACGCTGCTGGTTGTACAGGCTGAGGCTGTCGTCGGTGAGCGAGTCCCCGCCAGTGTCCGAGCAGTGGTAGCTCCGTGTCATCAGTTGCTGTTCGGGTAGAGAAGAGGTAAGCGTTTAATACGAATATTTTGCGAGTGGAAACGGAGTGAGTCCAGCATGACGGATGCATGCCCCCCCCCCTTTTTTTCCTTTTATACAAAAAAAAATATCTATTTAGCAGTTCAATTCAATAGTTAAAGCTATCCTACCTTATTGGTGACTCTTATAGAGGGATAAAAATGTCTGTTAATTCTGCAGGTAAAACTCTGAGTTTTGAGTCCGGAATGGGTCTTACTTGATTTTTGTGAAATAGGAAATAAATTTCCTAAAGATTATCTTCCAATCTAATCTAATTATTGCGGAAACTAATCATTATTGAATGCTACAAGCAATTACTTGGCAAATGTACAAAGATTACTATCTATTGTCAGCATTAAAAATGAATCACCCCTCTCAGATGATTGCTGCTACATCTTGATTGACCTGGGGCAGCACTCTTTGAACACAGCTAAGAATTTCTAATTTACATTTACGGATGCCACTTAGTCAGTGTCAAAGTTAAGCCAAATAAATTGAAATTTAAACCTCGCTAATGATGATTAAACTCTATCCAAAAATTTGCAAATCAAATAAGTTCTCTCAGACAATTAATCAAAATAATCTCTAGGGATAATCCCAATTGATATTCTCTATGTTATTTGTCTGCTTTGTCTCTGCTCACCTGTGCCTGTGCCTGCGCCTGGGCCTGCTGTTGGCGTCGACTGGCGCTCGTGCCACTCACATCCTGTGCGAGACTGCGTGCCCGTGCGTTGCGCGCCCACTCCTGGATCCAGTCCTGCTTCGTCTGCGCCGTCTGCATGAGGGCCATGTCCGAGCTCTGTGTGGGCGTGGGCGGTGTCTCCGGCATTTGGTGATGATGCTGCTGCTGGGTGGTGCTGGTGGTGAACACATTGAGGCGATATCCGGCCTTCTGCCGATCCGTGGCCGATCCGGACAGAGCCTGGGTGTGGCGCAGCTTGGCCTCGTTGCTCACGTACTCGGAGCTGTCGATCTGCGAGGTGGACAGGCTGTGGCTGTGGCTATGCCGCGTCAGCTTGCTGGGATGCGTGTCCAGGGCCCGCTGCTTGGCCAGCACTCCGCTGGTGGTGACGCTGGTGAAGCAGCCCACATCTGCCGCCGGCGAGGGCGGTGAGGGTGGTGATAGGGGCGCCTGCTGGCGCAGCACACGACTTTTCAACTGATCCAGATAGGCCCCCGTGCTGCTCTTCTGTGTCTCCGACTGCTTCTGCTGCCCCGGTGGATGCGGATGTTCCTGCAGCGGCGTCTCGTGGTAAAAGTTCACCTCGAGCACATTGCTGCCGCGATTCGACTTCACCGGCAGCTGCTTGGGTCGCATCCTTACGCCTGCCGCGGAAGCTGCTGCTGCTGCGGCATTGCGGTCGATATTCATGAGATCCTTTTGCTCCTCCGTGTAGTTGTCGCCGTCCAGCGTGTAGGTGCCCGTCTCGCTGGCGGCATCCTCCGCCAGGGGCTTGTCATCGGCCAGCGGTGGCTGCGGGCACAGCATCTCCACCTGCCTCAGTGCCAGCTGCAAGGCGGTGGAGCGGGGCATGTACTGATTGGCGGTGCGATTGGCCACCAAATTGGCGGCTCCCTTGGCGGAGGCAGGCGGTGGCAGCTTCGATCTGCCCGCTGGACGATTCGTGGGCGCCGGCGTTGGCTCGGGGCCGGTGGTTCCGGAGCTACGCGGCGACCAGCTGTGCCGCTTGGAGGCGTCTCGCACGCGGGAGGCACTCCTCTCACGCACACGCAGCCTCACCTGCGGCGCCTGCTCGGAGGTGGGCGTGTCGTCGGCCATGCTGCTGCCGGCGTCCAGGCTGCTCCTCTGCGACTGCCGGCCGCCGCTGTTCGTCCCGGTCGTCGTTGTGGCATTCTCCGTCTCCAGCTTGGACATGGAGGCCCCACGCTTGTGGCGATTCTGGAAGCGCTCCATCATGTTCTTGTAGCGTGCCGCCTGTGCCGCAGCATCGTTCTCCGAGGCCTCAAAGTGGTCTATGGTGAAGGCCAGGGCCTGCTTCGTGGCAGTAGTCGTCGTTGAGTTGGATTCGGTCGAGTTGTCTTCCTCCTCTGCCTCGCCGGCGATCACCCTTCCGCTATTGCTGTTGCTGTTGTTGCTACTATTGTTGCTGCTATTGTTGGTGCGAGTGTGCCCGATCTGCTGCTTCTGGTGGTTCGCTCTGCTCTGTGCTGCCGCCGCTGCAATGGAGGGAGAATCAGAAGCAGACACAACAATTTAATTAGCATTTATTCACAGTTATTATTATTATTTTATTACAATTTAAGAGCGGTGAAAACGAAACTAAGCGGCAAGAGTAAATTAAACTGAACTCCATGCAACATTAAGTGGCAAGGCAACAAGCAACAGAGAATGAGGGAACGAGAGAGAGATAGTGGGGCGAAGCAAAGATGATGGAGCAAACCAGGAACGGTTCTGATTACTCGAGGGTTGGGCACCGCATGAAGTTCAGATCATTTCTGATTTCAAAGAAGGTTAAAGCAGCTCAAAGCAGGAGAAGTCTTACCACAGAAAAGGTGAACTAGCTATACCTTGAGAACCCCTTTAATTAGGAATAACAGCTATTATACAATATCCTCGTACAATGCCTTTGTATAAACATCTACCATAAATAATCGATCGTTACTACAGATTGTGAATGCTATAACTATTTTAAAAATAATTAAAAGCACCAAAACGAAAGGGTACTTAGATAAACTACAACGAAAACAATGATCTTCCAAGTTTCAGAAGAAACATATAAACATTCCACATGCTTAAAAGGAAATATTTTTCGTGGATAAAGCTTTTCCTTATATGCACATATCCTCATTTCATCAACAGGTCCAATTAAATGTTATATTTTCTACTAAGAACAGTATTTCGAACCATTTTAGCACCATTTAAGGTCCGCTTTAATTGGGTTACTCCATTTTTGGGAACCACAAACTCAGATACAAATAAATAAACCCCCCGGATGGACATCGCTTTCGGTCTCAAGTTCATCCGATTGTAGGGCCCTCCAAAAGAAAAACGACCGACCGCCCGAAAACCTGCAGTACACAACGATCCCCCACTGCTTCCGTTCAGTAAATTTCTATACATTTCCGCGGCAAAAGCGGCAAAGGCAGCAGCAAAGAAGAAAACCCAACAATTTGCTTTCAGGTTTTGCCACGCCAAGTGGCACACGCTCTCCACGCCACCGACTCACTATATAGCGAGAATCGAGGGACCAACCATCTAGGGGGCCGTCGGCTCTTTTCAGAATCGTGATCTAAGGCTTGCTGTCCGTCCGTGTCTGCTGGGGTATGTAGGGCTCGTATGTGGGGCTGCCACCCCCCAAGTGAAGGTTAGAGTTCGCTGATTTCGGTCAATTGTAGGTTTCGACTTGTACGTTTCGGGGTGAGGTGATGGTGAAGGTGCAGGTGCAGGGTAAGGGTGTGTGCGGGGTCCGGTCCCAGCCGAAACAAAAGTTTCACGCTCTACCAAACTTTGAGCTCCGCTTTGCAGGTGGCTTCCGTTTCGTTTGAAACAGTTTTTGGTATGCCACGAAATGTATTTGGAAGATGTCCATTTCAACAATACATTTCACAATCTTCACAATCGTGTGTTGTGTGTGTTCCCGTCAAGTTTCTGGTCACGAAAAATCAATAACCATATTTGGGCGTACCATAATTATTATTTTTAATTTGTTGCAAATAATCAAGGTAATCCAAATATGGGCTATTGGTCATTATTATCAAGTGGATGGGCAACAAAGCGTAGAGCCTATCATAATTATTGCTCACGGAGAGGGCGTAAAGAATTCTCAAGTGTTAATCGTTCTGATCGTTAACTTAAAGATATCTATTTGTACATATTAATTATCTTTTTAATCTATATGGTTCAATTGTGATTATTTAAAATTATACGGCTGGAAACCTTCCGAAGTTTCGATGATTTTGAAGTCAACATTGTGCTAAGCATGGCCTGCAATACGGCTTAAAGGAGTGTTTAAACCTCAGCCGATACAACCTCCAGCCAAAAACATATTTAAGTATGGCAAGGCATACAATTATCCCTCTAATAAAACCCATTTTCATGTTGAAATTCAGTCATCTCTGTGTTTTATTTTGGTTTAAAGTTGTATACCTCTAAAAAACATAATAAATATGTACAAAAAAGGTTTCGCAATCGTTTTTTAAAAGCCCCTATTAAATCACTAAATTAATTGTTCCTTAAACACAGATTCTCGGATATTAATTTCGGATTTAGCATTGAACAAAAAAATCTTTAAAATTAATTAGTTTTACTTGAACCTCAGCTATTCCATTCATCATTTTAATTGATGTGCATTCGACCATTTGATATCATTTACTATCGTTTTTCTAACTAGTTATTATTCTTTAAAAGCAACAGATTCTCTCATATTAGCCTCAAATACCTTACCAGTAAACATTCCCAATTATAAGGAATCTCAATTCAAATAAACCAACTTTTCTGCATTCCTAGCACTGAAGTGGAAACCGATTATCAATAATAATCTTGAATAAGCAAATATTTTTTATATTTTTATCCATTTTAGAACACAGTCAAAGAAACGATTTTCATCATAATTGGACTCTTGAGGAAATCACATACTTCAACCCAAATAAAAGTCTAAAAGCATTCGTAATATGTCAATGTAAGAAACATCTAAAATCGTATATGATTTGCTCAAAGCACCTGCATTACTCTTTCGATTACTGGGATTCGTTTAGCTTAGATTTCTAGATTAAAAGTAGAACGACATTCATTATGCGCTTGTTAGATCACAAAATTTGCAATCTAATTTGGCAGGAAATACTCGAATGTACAATCGACATTGGTACAGTACAGTACCCCTGGTTGCACCGCTAAGAGACATAGGGGAGAAGCAATCACCGATAGACAATAGACCACAATGGGTGAGCGACTAACGGTAATTACGCTGCCCACTGTGCATGGCCATAAAATGTCTTTGCAGTCGAGTTATCGTTGTCCTCTCCTCTCTATGCTCCTCTCTCCTATCGAACGTCGTTGTCTATGGCCCAACCAACCAACAACAATTGAAAACTGTTGGCACAAATGGTACTCTGCGTACACAAATGTCGAGTATTACTGCGAGTATTATTATTATTATTGCTGTTGGCCATTGCCGCTGTCTGTCCGTGTCCGTGTGCGAAGTGGCTCGTTCCGAGTCTTTTGTTGGGCTTTATTTTGTTGCCGCTTTGTGTATCGCTTTTACTTTTTTGCAATAAATAAAACAAAACGTAGTTTTAGTGCAATACTTTTTTTTGTTTTTTTGTTTCTTTTAGCTATTTTGTTGCCGTTTTGGAAAGTCGATCAGTGGAAACTGTGTGTCCGACCGCCCGCCGCCTTTTTCCATTGCTTCCATTTTTGGTGTGATTTTCGAATGCAACTCTGCGGTAATCGCAGCGCAGGTCGATAACGATTTCACACGCTGCTAGTCGAAGGGGCAAAATGTTCCAATTGGTTTCTAATTAGTTTTGCTAATTGCAATGCTCGCGTCTTACGTCATGCGCGACCATTTCCAATCATAAAGATTTTTGCTTCGCTTTTTAGTTCCACTTTTTGTTGTGGTTTTAGTGGGACTGTTAAAAAATCAATCGCTTAATGTATTAACTTTTTACATTTAAATAATTGTTATTATGTATACATATGAATGTATATTTATATCTTTTCAACTGACGGCAACACCAGTGGAGAAAGCGTCCGTCCACCGATCACCATCATCATCTGTCATCTCTGAATGAGGTCATCGGACTCGCCGTCTTTTGTCGTGATTATTGTTATCGATGATTGTTTTGCTGATGACGGTATGTCTGGTGTGTCTGTGTGTGTGGGGGGTGTTTCATTATACACTTGAGATCTCCTTGAGTGCTCGCGAAATGAAGGAGAATATTGATGGGAAGTGGTTCAATGAGATCTTCTACAGCCTGACAGAGACATCTAAATAAATGTTACAGAAAGAGCATGGGTCTAGGGTATGGAATGGAATATACCTAAATTATCCCACACAATTTCTAATCAAATTAAATATAGAAAGTTCTACGTTTTATTTATATTTTGAGACACTTTTTATGTATATTTCCCGAGACACCTTAGTTAACAAAATTCTTGAAATATTTATGCACATTTCTCAAGACATTCCTTGACGCGAGAATACCAATTTAATAATACATTTTGATCAACCAATTAAGCATGCCCAAACATAACCAATTTGGGAACAAGGCCACAGCGGAGGGATTGCATTGGATGTTTGCCAAGAATTAATGTTTCACATTTATAAAGATTCGGATATAATAGGTAAAGAGAGGTACAGAGAAAACATAAACAAAATATATTTAGTATATCCAAAGCCATGTGGTTTATCAATGGTTGTACTTTGCCATCGGCCAATCGTCGAAGAATAATAAAAAGATAAAATTGTTTCCGATAACCAATCATAACTGAAGAGTTTCCCAAAGGTTGGTTATTATCTTTCTTTTCCTCTTGGATAGATCGAAGACTAAGACAAAGGAATCTGTATGGGATGTCAAGACATCAAACATTTGAAAGTGAAGTGACAGCCATATTCCAATATGATTTAACCGTTTTTCCAAAGAACAAAGACACTTATAGATACCCGTTTTTAGCTGGTATGTAACATTCCCATACACTGAATCATTTGTCCCCGCATGACATAATCCACTCTGGTTCACTTTTTGCCCCATATTGTCAGTGGTACACGTACTTCAAGGCAGCACACAGACCCAGCAGCAGATACCACTTCGATCACCTCCCCGCTCTTCATGAGGTAAGTGCTCCAATTTGTTTCTCATAAATCTGCGAGTTTTTTTTTTATCAGTTTTGTTGGGTGTTAGGTTTATTTTCTTTTTCGCTTGCCAAATCTTACACAATACAGCAGTCGCCGTGTTATTATCTCACAGACAACATTTTCATTCCATATGCCATGCACGCAATTCATTCGCAAAAAACAAGATTTGTGCGGGACTGTCGCTGGATGTGGATGACTCAGCCCCAGCGCCTCAGCCAGCAACAGACGGTGGTCGTTGATCGTTGATCGATTGGAGGTTACTGAGATACACAGACACGTTGCCTGTTGCATTTGTCGGGCTTATAAATAATAACACACAAATATTTAATTGAAAACAAGAATGGCAAGAAAAGCTTGCCATTTCATAGATACAAATTTTTCCATGAGAGCGAAAACAAAGCCCCACGGTCAATCTGCTGAGTATTGAAATTGGTTTTTTTTCGTTTATATTTTTAACCAAATTATGAAAATTGTTAACCTTAACAGGCCCTGCTGGAAATTTACGTTTCTTTATTGCAGCGTTGTCTGTTTAAGGATCTGTTGCCAATGCATTTGCAAGTGCTTTTGGCACTCGCCGACTTTTTTACACAGCCAGGAAATAACAGATCAAAAATTACCCAAAGAGAGTGTGAATACAAAATAGGTTTGGAAGAGAACTAGATGATCTCATCCACAGCTTTAGCAAATTAGAAAACCTATAGAGAAACCCAAAGAACACCTACAGAAGTAGAAGAGAAATTGTCTATAGAATCAGCTTTCTTATACGGAGTATCTTGGAATATCTGAATATTCATGTGTTTTTTTTTCTCAGAAACAATTATATTGTAGCTCTTTTCAGTGTTTTCTTTTACTGCAGCCATATCGTTTCGGAACTACAGGAGCTTTTGAATAGTAGAACTGCCCTAAAGTGGAAATCTATATGTTCTGAATGCTCCCAATCTCTTGCAATTTATTCACACACAAGTACATTAATTGAAATCTCTGTTAATACTGTTAAACTGGTTCCCACAAGCGATATTTTACTGTACTCGTACGCAGGCTTATTGCACGAGTCCCACAATGCCATAAATTCTCATTAAAATAAAAATCGCACAGCTGATGTCACTTGCCTGCGCTGCGAAGGCTGTTGATCCCATTCCCCTTTGCCGAAACCAGAAACGAGAATTTGTCCCACTGTGCACACACCACACACACACACACACAAACACACAAGCAAGGTGTGTGGCAGCAGGCATGACTATTGCAATAAATATTTGCGCTTAGCCGTGGCCAAAGCCAAAGACTCGCCTCGCACAAAATAACTTCATTAAAAATTCAAATTAGCTAAAAAAAAAAGAGAGACAACACCAGCAACAACATGCGCCACTTAGCCAATTGTCAAAGTGGTTATTGTTGTTGTTGCCCCTGCTTGTTGCTGCTGCTTCTTCCATTTTGCTCACCTTTTTCGGCCGGCGATGGCGGCGGCTTGCCAAGACAGAACTTGCCGCTTGACTCATCGATGGCAGCGCCCAGGCCCACAAAGCCCGGATTCACCTGACTTAGCATTTGATGGCGGGGCGATAGATGCTGCTGCGACTGCGACTGGGGCGTGGCCGGTGCAGAGACAACTTTATCCGCATTTTGGTCCATTATCTCGGCTATCTTCTTGATGTTCTCGGGCGTGGTATCGGCCTTCTCGCGTCCGTCAGAGCTGTTGCCGTCCTCGTCGCTGTATCTGCCACCGGAGCCAATGCGCAGGGTATCCCCGTTCTTGGCCTTGACTTTCGATGATTCAACTGCACCAGCCACGCCTCCTACTCCTGCCTGGGCTGCGCCGCCGACTGCTGCTGCTGCATTTCCTGCTCCAGCCGCTGCGGCAGCTGCTGCTGCTGTGGTTGTGGTTGTCGTTGTGTCATTTGCGTATGATGTCATTCTGAGCCTCGTAGCCGTATCGATGCTATATCAGGAGACTCTCCGGTTTTCTCTAACGGATTGTGTGACGGGTTAACGCCTATTTTCGCCGGTATTCTCTTTTTAATTAGTTAATTCATTAGCGCTTCATTCCTGCGCCGCTTTCCGGTGTGCTCCTGCTCCTCTGTACCGTGCGTGGCGTGCTACGTCCTCTACTCCATTCTGCCACCACCACCACCGCTGCGACCAGATTGTTGTGCGTGGGAGTGAGGGCTCTAGTGAATTCCTGAACGTAGCTGTTGCCTTGTGGACAGGACAGGAGATGGAGGTTACATAAATTCAAGAATACGATTCTACACAGGATGCAACCGTATCGGAATATTAACGAATTTCAGATTAAGGCAGCTGCACACGAGTTATTTCCAATTGTTGTGCGAATACTTTCCCGATTGGACACTTGTCTTGGGAAAACTATTCAGATTCAGGCGGCAGGGCAGGCATTTCACACACCACACGAAAATAGCCACCGCCGTGTCGAAAGCAAAAGCAGAAAGAGCGCTGCCCGCTCGTAGATGCTTCTCTTGGGTGCCTTTTCAAGGTTGCTTTTGTTTTAAAAACTTAAACGAATGTTTATTTTTACTTTGAACAATTTTGGAAGCAAAGGCACGCACATACACGAACACACGCACACACACACACGCACGAATTCAAGGGCAGCGTCCGCGCTCGGACTTTTTTCACTTTTAATTTTCACTCTTCTTTACCCTACCCCTCTAGACCGTTTTGTTTCTGTTGCATTTGATAATGAACTTTTGGCTTTATCTTTGTTTTTCACTTTTCCTATTCTCGATTCTCGAGACACGCGCTCGTCTGTCCGGCCAAAAGCTTACTCACGCTAATACAGTTAGGACTGAAAAGAAACGGCGTCAGAAAGAGTCACAGACAACAAAACGTCGCTGGGGCTGTTCCAGTGTGTGTGCGTGTGATGGCCAAAAGTGCAGAGAGAGATGGAGAGAGGGTGAGACAAGCGAGAGGGAGCGAGAGCACGCGACAATTGTGCAGAGAGCGAGCAGCAAACAGCTGTGGCTGCCAACACTTTTTAGGGTTGTCGAGCAGCCATGTGCAACGGAAAAAGCACCAAATAACAAACAAATAAGGAGCCACAAAGGGGGTAAGACATTTTTTTAATATTTAATAGTATAATAACGTAATTTTCATATTCATAAAACCTATTGAATAATAGGAAATTCGGGTATTAAAAAGTAAACTAAAGGAACAGTCTGGCAGCACTAATCACTCTCATTTGTGCTCCCTCTCTATCTCTCTCTCTTGCTGTTCGCTCTCAAAAAGCAACATTGATTGTTTTGGCCAGAAACTTCCATCCAATAGAATATAATTAACCCACGGTTCACAACACGAATGCATATTCATGACCAAATAAACGTTAAAAATGCAAACGAAAGCTTACGGCAAATTCACGCTCGAGTAAGCAATGCACTCGACAGGTGGTGGCCTTCGCTTACGCTATTTATAAATCAAACACTTGTCACGCCGCTCTAATTTCCCATTTGAAAACAGGTGTAATGTTATTAAATGAAGGAAGGAACGAAAAGAATTTTAAGTCTGACAGAAACAAGAACAATTGCCGCGCAAATGATAAGAGAGAGCAGAGAATGCGCGCGCTCCTCTCTCGTCATTTGCTGACCCATGAATTTTTTTTCTTCTTTTAACGCCCCTCTGTGCACTTGTTCGTTGTTGACTTTTCCACTTAATATTTTTCACTCATTTCAGCTCTAACTGGTTCGATACCATTTGTCAGAGCCTTTCGCCGTGTCGAACTACAGTTTCGCACAATACACAATATTAAAAAATTAATTTACTTGGTGCAAGAAGCGCGAAACGAAATGCCAGGAATTTCAGGTTTTGGGGTTTGTTGTGCCAATCAGAAACCAGTGTTGCCAGTATTTTTTATTGCTCTTGCGCTCTCCTCTTTACTATGTATCGATTCTTTGTTTTTTCACCGACATGGTTGATACAACGATCACACCATACGCGCGCAATTCAAATCTATTAACCAAAATTATTTATGCCCCCTGAATTATTTAAGTGGTTTTATTTTTTTAAATTGCATTTATTCAGACACAATTACATTTATAGGGATGTGTTTATATATATTGTTATGCATTTTATATAAGTATGCATGCATATTGGTATAAGGTTCCAATGCCTCTGAAAGCATGTTGCCAATCTTGTTGTCTCCCCGGGTAACTTACAGAACTAATAAAAAAAGCGAACAAACGAAAACCTTCTGGCGTATCGGGCCGGGCCGGGCTGGACGTCACGGTGACTAATCGCACCACACGGTTGATGGCTAGGCATACTATATTATCGGATATATAGTCGTATATACGTATACATAAATATAAATCTGGGATGTGTGTTGTGTAGGTAAAAGCTTTATCGCGTATCGGCTCGGAACTGTACAGAAACGGAACTGATAAGCGACTTGGAAAGTACACAGAAGAATACTCTTTAGTCCAGCGTGGACTGGACATATACTGTGGGCGGGGCCTGCTGGGTAGCGTAGCGCTACTTTAACGCCCATTCCAATAGCAAACGTGTCCATTCTCGAATGCCAGATTGATGCGCGGATGGGGCAGTGGCCGGGACGCCTGGAGCGGTTCAAGCAGCTGCGCTGGCGTCGCGGAATCCTCCTCAAAATACAGACACTGTCGCACAAACTCGAGGAAAAGCGCCCGAGTCTGCTGTGCAGAGCCGGACAGTGCCTCCAGATTGGAGTCGATGCACAGGCCATGCACCAGCTGCTCGCAAATCCTTGTGTTGGTGTCCACATCGAAGAGCGGCACCCCGAAATTGACATCCAGCAGTGTCCACTCCTCTGTGACGGCCTCTGGCTCGCCGGCTCCGTCCTCCAGGGCAATGGGTATTTCCACGGAGCTCTGCGAGAGCAGATCGGCGCGACTGGCATGACGGGACGACTGGCTTTGGCTGCATTTGGCCAGTTCGCTGGCCAGCACTTGGCTGCAGTCGGGCGACGTGAACTCATTGGCCGGTCCGTGTTCGGGCGTGGCCGCAAAATGGTTCTCGTCAGGACTCTTGAGCTGGTAGCTGGTCAGCTCCGTGGCGGGTGTGGTCGCCTCACTGGTTGGCACTGGGTTGCTGAGCTTGTTGGCTGGCAGCGAGGAGCGCTTGCGCTGTGGCGGCCTGAGTCTCACCTGCAGCTCGTACTCCTCGCAGCCGAGATCGGGCACGCCCGTGTTCAGGAATGTGATGTAGCCGCATTGCTGGCGCAGGTCCAGCAGTGTGTTCAGCTTCTGGACGGCCCTATGGGCCGACCATTTGACTTGTCGCCCATCAGTGGGCTGGAATGGAAACGATTCGTAGTGGAGGGTGCCCGGACAGCGGATGCCATAGCCCTGGAGCAGCACACAGCCGTTCTTCAGCTGCTCGTTCAGATTGCGGAAGCTCTCCGAGTTGAGGACGTACGAGTCCGAGTGTAAAATGTTCACCAGCAGCTTGCCATAGCCCAGAAAGAGGCGTGGCAGCGTCTTCAGCACAGTGCCGCGACACAGCAGCAAACTGGGCGGACCATAGCCTGTAAGTCAATCAGGGATAAGATGGAGAGTGAGTGAGTCAGTCTGTGGTTGTATTGCAGGGGGTGGCGCACCTGTGATATGATTGAAGAACAGCTTGCACCACATGGGCGCCACATCGGAGCTGCGCAGGAATTGCCCGAAGAAGGGAATGCTAAAGGTGTGGCTCAGTGCAGCCGTCAGGGGCGAGGCCGAAATGATGAACTTGTACTTCTTCTCCAGCACACGATCGCGCGTCTGCCTATCGAGTCCCTCGAGGCACTCCAGCCGCAACAGATCGAGGCCGCCCGGCACCAAATTCCGCAGCGAGCAGATGGTCGACCTGAGGATCACGGCATGCGCAAAGTACCTGGACACATCACCCTCGCCCTCGGCATCCAGCAGTGAGACCTGCTCCAGTTCGGTCAGAAAACTGTCCATGCTCTCCTCGCACAGTTTGCCCACCTCGAACATGGTCACCGCATGGTTCTTCAGTCCCGGCGACAGATTGCCCATCATCAGAAAGGCGGTGAGCGTCGAGTCGAACAGGAAACCCATGCGCTTGCCGCTCTTGGGAACCACCGCCGCTGTTGCAGCTGCGGCCATGGGCAGCTTGGAATGAATGGTTGTGGTGCGTTCACTCACATCCTCCAGCTCGGAGCTGAGCTCCTGCTCGTCGCTGTTGTTGGCATTTGGGCCAGTGCCCGTCGGCGTGGTGTTCAGATTGGCAAAGCTAAAGTCGCTGGTGTTCCCATCCGAGGAGAGGTAGCCAATCGAGCTGCTGTCCTTGTCCCTTTCCTGATGCTGTGACGCTGTCTTTGGCGTCTTGGGGGACTTGGGACTCTGCTGCTGCTGCTGTTGCTGCTGGTCAAAGTCGAAGCTGCTGGCATGCAGGTTGTAATTGAGTGGCGTTATCTGGGGCGTCTGTGGCAGCTGCTGCAGATTGCAGCCATCCCAGCTGGGATGGTTTGGCTGCTGGTCTTGGTCCTGCCCCGCATCGTGTTTGCGATGGGCGAATCCCAGGCGACAAATGAAGGAAATCGCCTGCTTCACACTGTCCAGCTCCAGCTGCAGCATGTGGGCAAGCTCTGCGATGGTCATGTGCTCGTCGGCGCTCACGAAGATCTTGTACAGCAGATTCTCAAAGTAGTCGCCGCTCACGCGGTTCATCACAAAGTTCCGCAGCGGGGGAATTGAGATGCGATCCTCGCCGCAGATGGGCACGTCCAGATATATGAGACCCTTGCGGTAGAGACTGTGCACCACATTGTAGTCACATTTGCCCGCCGGCTGAGCACCGAAATCGATGAGATCATCGAGCAGGCTGCGCTCCGGCGGGGAGACATAACGAATGTCCGACTCCAGGACGTAGCCGATGTCGAGGCGCCACCAGGGCTCGATGTGCACCGGCACGGGAAAGCGCGGCAAGAAGTCCTGCGGATTGGGCTTGGCGCTGAACAGCAGCGTGCGCGTGGTGTGTGTCTTCAGATCGCTGATCAGGGCCAGATACTCGTTGCGGCCAATGCCCAGCACGCGCAGACAGTCGGCCGCCGTGAAGTTGGGCAGCGTGTCGTAGCTCTTGTCGCTGCGCAGCAGCTGGCTCAGCACATCCAGATAGTAGTTGAAGGGCGTGACGCGCAGACCCTTGGTCACAATGTCCGTGAGGTGATAGGGGAAGACCCCCAGCCCGTTGATGTTCTTCTGGATGAGCAGCTCGTAGTAGCGCTGCTCCTTGCGGAACACCTTGGAAGCCAGGTTGCCGCGAAAGCGCAGCTGGTTCTTCAGGCTGTAGTTGAACACGAACTTCTCGTAGTCGCGCTGATTGTTGTGCAGCACCGATCTCAGATGCACGGGCAGCTGCTGCCATGACACATTTCCACGCACGCACAGCTGCAGTTGGGCCTGGCAATTGCTGTTGCTGCCCCCGTTGGCCATCTCGTCTTTCTCCGTCATCTCGTTGCCAGACGCTGGATTCGGTTTGCTATTGGTCCTGGACTAAGTCATTCCATCGCATACACTTCACGATTCTCGGCACTGGGGCTAGCTACTCTATGCTTTTCCAAGTTTTCCTTGCTATCCGTTGCGTTTTATTTTTTTTTTTTCAAGAAGAAGAAAAACGACAGCTGATAAAAACCGTCTGACTCAGGTGTTTAACAACACTGACGATAGTTCGATTTATGTATAGGAAAATATGAATTTAAATTACCCTTTTTATGATGGTCTCTTGTTTCTTGGCATTTAACTTGCAATTACTTACAGCATTTCCACTAATTTAATGCTGATTGTTACACTCGAATAATTTTTGCCCATAAATCATCTATTTATTGAATCGAAAATCGATTGCGCTACAATAAATTGATAAGTTTATTTCGAATCCTTATAGCTAGGCTTACAAAAATATAACTATCAGGGGTGCCATAGGAATCTCTAGCGGAATTGGAATCAGCTGTAAGCAATTCCGTCTAAAAAATTCAGCGGTGAGACAGAATTATACTTTTTGACTCCATTTGTCCCCCATCGGCAAACAGGTTGCGCAAAAGACAAATTTAAGGAATCGATAGACTTGGCGGGCGATTGCTATGTACAGCGAACTTTCGAAGCGTTGTTCAACACTCTTCGTTGATGATTTTCAATATTCTTCTTGCTGCAATTCGGCCTGGCGACTTATAAACACACTCGTATCTTCTGTTAAAAGTCCAATTTCGTGGACATCTTTATGTTGTGAGAAGTGAAAATTGTGAGTAGAAGGACAACAGGTAATTTTCCAATGCCCCGTAGGCAGAGGCACCGCGTCGGGAAAGAGGTCACAGCAAGCAATTCGAGCAGAGCAGCAGCGAGTGGGCGACAGGGACCTCAACATCGATTTTTTTGCACCCTTTTTTGTGCATAATTCGCATCGCATTTTAGCACACAAAGGAGACGGCGCAGGCAGCAGGAAGCACGCAACGCAACCCAAAGAGTTAGCAGAATTGAGTTCGGGGCGGGTGTGTAGGATTATTGTGTGCCGTTTAAACAGTCGTTTCGTAGGATGAGCGGCAGTGGGGAGAAGGAACGCGAACAGCAACGGCAAACTTCGCCTTTGCCGTCGCCTTCGCCGTTGCCAGGCGTCTCAAGGTGAGTTGTGCGGTGTGATGCGGTGCGCCCATGCATATTGCCAGACCCCATTTATCAATTCGATTTCCTTGTCTGTCGTCTGTCGTGTGCAGCGCATCGACCTCGGCCTCGACGGGGCCCGGTGGGCGGGCCACACCGGAGATGAAGCGCTCGACTGTGCGCAGCCTCATTCAGCGGTATTTCCACCAGTTGCAGTCCGGATGCGGCAATGTGGCCTGCACCAATGCCAACTGCGCTTCCAGTGGAAAGGTGGCACCGATGACGCCCAACCAGGTGGCGGCACGCGCCCTCCAGCTATTCTCACAGGACGCCCAGCTATGCGAGAATCCTGGGCAAGCGACGGAACCGACGGTCGCTCCAGTCGCCATCAGGTAGGATCCTCACATTCATTCACTTGTTCCACCTAATCCGTGTTACACCCGACAGCCCTCTTGATATCGACATGCTTTCCCCCAACGACAGCAGCAGCAGTAGCAGCAGCAGCAGCAGTAGCAACAGCTCCACCAGCACCATCACCTCCGCGAGTACCACAACAACAACCAGCACCCAGTCGCAAAGCGCACCGGGTCCAAAATCGGTTTCAGTTCCCGGTCCAAGTCCAAGCCCCATAGCGAGGCCATCGCCACGAGTGTTGCAGCCCGAACTGGTGGCCCCGGCGCCTGCACCTGCACCCGCCCCCTCCGCCTCCTCGTCTGGAGCGTGCACAACAAATCTTTCTGCAGTCAAATCGCTGGAGGCCAGCTGTCTTATATCCCTGTACGAGGAGTGTGTGAAGAAGGACAGCTATGACAAGCTCTACCAGGCCGTCGGGGATGTCTTTTCTTGCGTGGAACGGCTGAGCAGAAGCTTTGTGCGTACTCCGGACACGGAAGAGGAGGAGGAGGAGGAGCCACCGGCAGCTAGCATGCCGATCTTCCCGGCCAAGCCTCCCGAGCCCCTAAACAAGGAGCAGCTGCGCACACTGGAGGGGGAGCACGACAAGGACGAGGACAGCACTCAGCAGGCAGCCGCAGTGGAGGCCGCGGCAGGTACGGACACAGAAGCCGTAGCGGGGCCAGACGGGGATGATGATGATGATGCTGGGCCGGAGGATGTCGATGATGAGGATGTGCCCATGGAGCCGGCACCCAAATGCGAGTCCAAGGCACAGCTGGAGGATCCATCGATGAGCAGCGACACTCTGGTAGACTTTGATGGACTGCGACGCGTGCAGCGGCTGCTGTTTGCCTCCAAGTCTCGAACTGTCACCGACAAGCTCACCAGCAGCGTCATCCAGCTGGCGGACTGGATCCACTACATGAGGCGCTACACCCCAGACTGGGAGAAGGTCGTTCACTGTCTGGTCATCTGCTTTGACCTGGCCACCAACAGTGAGTAGTAGAGCCCATCCATCCCATCGGTATAGGATTTTCCAATGATGTAATCCTCCTCCTCTGCACACAGCCAACAATATGGACTATCTGGATCGGGTGCTGCCCAAACTGTGTCTCGCAGCTGCCTCCATGTCCGTCAAGGCGCAGGCGCGTTTGGCACGGATATGGGCGGCGCATTGCTCTGACCAGCTGCACACGCTGGTCGCCTCCTGCCAGCAGCAGATCACACTGCAGGTTCTGCTGGACGAGGAGTCGGTGCGCGAGAACGAGCACATCATTTGCGTGACCAAAGTTCTGAAGGTACCATCGCTGCACCTTACTTCCTCCCATCCCTTGCTCATTGCTTTGCCACTTCCATTCGCAGATTGTGTTTTATGCCAACATTCTGGCCAGCGAACTGGAGCGTCCCTCCTGTCGGGTGTCGGCGGAAGAACTGGCGGAGAGTGCTGCGAGCACTTCGGCGGATGGTGCGCCACCCGAGGAAGATCTGTTCCTGTACAATCAGGTGATGCATCCCCATATGCCCAAGTTCGCCGAGGATCAGATGGAGAAGGCGCTGAAGGTGTCGGCCATCGATTGCCGCAAGCCGCTGGTCCCGCTTGAGGAGTTCTACAACGAGGCGCTCAGCGAGAACATTCAGATGAATCACGACTACCTCTCGTACAAGTCGCTGGCCATGGAGAGCGAGGTGGGCTCCAGCCACAACAACTACTTCTCCTTCATGCTGTACGCGTTCATTCTGACGCCCGCCACCAAGGTGGATGCCCTGTACTACGACAGCCGGATGCGCATGTACAGCGAGCGCTACTCCACGCTCTATTCGATTATCAACAACTTTGGCCAGGACGGGCAGGATGCCACGCACCGGCCCGATCTCAAGTTGACGGTGCGACGCGATCAGCTGATCAACGATGCGCTCGTCGGGGTAAGCATTCAGAGATTTCTGCCGAAAGAAACATCATCTAGCAGGGATTTGGGTGTTTTGCAGCTGGAACTGGTGGCCATGAGCAATCCAAAGGATCTCAAGAAGCAGCTGGTCGTCGAGTTTGTCGGCGAGCAGGGCATCGACGAGGGCGGCGTATCCAAAGAGTTCTTTCAACTGATCGTTGAGGAGATATTCAATCCGGCCTTTGGCATGTTTGTCCAGCAGGAGGAGACCAACAACATGTGGTGAGTGCGCCAAAGGCCCTTCCCTTCCCCCCTGCTATACGTTCCTCCCTCATGTGTCATTAATTCAAAGGTTCAATGCCACACCCTTCGAGAATGGGGCGCAATTCACGCTGATTGGGATCATCATCGGATTGGCCATCTACAACAACGTCATCCTGGCTGTGAACTTCCCCATGGTGGTCTATCGCAAGCTGTTGGGCTATCGCGGCACCTTCTGCGATCTGCGCGACTACAGTCCCACGCTGCACACCAGCCTCAAGTCGATGCTCGACTTTGAGGGCCAGAACATGGAGGAGGTCTTTGATCAGACGTTCAAGATCAGCTACAGCAATGTGTTTGGCGAGATGGTCGAGCACGAACTGGTGCCGCATGGCCAGGAGGTGCTCGTGGGGCAGCACAACAAGCAGCTGTTTGTGGATCTGTACGCCGACTTTCTGCTCAACAAGAATATCCAGCAGCAGTTCAACTCCTTCCGCAAAGGCTTCGAGATGGTCACCGATGAGTCGCCGCTGAAGCTGCTCTTCCGTCCCGAGGAGATCGAGATGCTGGTCTGCGGCAGTCGCGTGAGTACCAACCCCGAAACAATTGATAAATGTGCAGAAATTATGCAAAATGGGTTTTTGTTTTGGGCCTCTGCAGGAATTCGACTTTGTGGAGCTGGAGCATTCCACGGAGTACGAGGGCGGCTACACGGAGGAGACGCAGATAATACAGGACTTTTGGAAAATTGTGCACGCCATGCCGAACGAGTCGAAGCGCAAGCTGCTCGAATTCACCACTGGATCGGCCCGGGTGCCCGTCGGTGGGCTCAAGTGCCTGAGGCTGTTGATCACGCGGCACGGGCCGGACAGCGACCGGCTGCCCACTTCGCACACCTGCTTCAATGTGCTGCTGCTGCCGGAGTACAGCAGCAAGGAGAAGCTGGAGGAGCGCCTGATGAAGGCAATCAACTACTCGAAGGGCTTCGGCATGCTGTAGGCAGTGGGACCCGAGTCTGGGCCCCAATTGCATCGTAACTGATACCACCTCTCTAGGAACGAAGGAACGACGACGACGACGATGATTATTTTGGGTTTTTGTTTATCTTTTTGTTGGGTTATGCCATTTATTTTTGATACAACCTGTTCAAATGAGACAATATACCATACATATATGCTCAATTTCTGGCGCGATGGCAAGCAAAAATAATAATGAACGGACACGACTCTCACGGTAAACACTCGAGAAACTAATCCCTAACATTCTGTTCTTTTGTCGCTCAGTAAATTGTAAATATATATATATATATATATTCTAATATATGTACTATATGTGTATACTCACCCATGTAATTATATATACTATATATGTCGCCAAACACTGAAGATTTTACTAATAAATTTAAAGTGCGCGCGAAAAGAAATGGTTTGAAAAATCTATCGAACTATCTGGCTCACTTTGCAACACTACCGTGTCATCCGTCTATGGTAATGGCGGCAAAATGTGTAGTTAGCGTGTAGTTATCATGTAGTGCAAATCGTGGTGGGTTTTCAAAATTTCAGCAACATGGGGAAATAGGCAACATTGTTCTGCAACTTTGGCACGGAATGAGAAACAATCTGCATACCTTGAGAAAATTGATATTATAGAATAGAGATATAGTTTGTAATTTCAGGCAAAAATTAATGCAGAAACTACTCAGTTTTTGTTCTAAAGATATTAACAAAGTTGTGTAGCTCACGGGTTCCAATAATAGGTATCAGAACCGGGATAAATGTATATATAAAACACAAAACATATGTATTAATAGGTAAAAAACATGTCAATCTAGGATAAAATCATAAATAATGTTTCAATGGAGCTTGGAACAACAAAATTAGCATCAATTAAAATAAATAAGGTATACAAAAGCCCATACGCATAGAAGTAACTTGGTTGACCAGCAACACTGACGACACATTTAGTCAACATATACGTTTTATGCTTTGGCCGTTTTTGTTTAAACCTTATTATGTAAATAATCCAATGAAAAAGAATTCTGAAAACTAGCCAATCCTAAACAAAATTCATTAAGGAATTGGATAAAATTATTTTGTTAGGGCTGAGAGCGCCAACTAGCTAGTAATATTAAACTGAATATCAAAATTGACGAATTTCATATCACAAAATATCATGGTATGGCAGCCCACAGCAACTACGAATTACACGAGTCTGGCAGCGCCACAAAAACGTATCAAAATATCGATTATATCGATGTTTGAATCGATTTTTTCCCAGCTCTATTACACATACGGTCACGCTGAACAGCTGCGATGCGGGCATCCGATGGCGTCCGATGATAGTGGGACGCGATTGGGGCTTTCATTCGTCTTTCTGGGTTCTTGGGGCTCGTTCGAAAATCAAAAGTCTGGTGCACTCGAAGGAACATGCAACAATTATAACGCAAAGTGCTTTTCTGCTCAAAAGTGCCTAAGAAATTAATTCCGCGCGTGTGTGTGAAAGTGTGTACTTAAGTGTGTGAGAACAGAAGAGTTAAATCCAGCATAATGCAAAAACAACAAGAGCGCACATTGTTGTTGCGCTTTGCAGCGCTGCCCGTATTGTTTTTGCTTTTGGCGTCGCAAGGAGCCCACGCAGATGCAGGCGCAGCGGCAGATGCCGCCGCCGACGTCGCTGCAGCAGAGTCCAATTTGAATGGTTTGTTTCTACTTCAGTGCAATGAGTGAGAGATTCTCTCGAATTAGTCTACATGGAAAATTATATTGCATTCAAAGGCGGCTTCCTCCATCTCCATCGCCATCTGTGATTTTGTTTATGTTCTCATGCCCCTCCTTCCTGCATTCCATCTTGCTGCCACTACCCTGTACTTTTACAGTAGATGGGTGTATTGAATGAAATGAGAACAAGAGCCACAGGATCTGCCGTGTTGCCTTGGGGCCTGAAAATGGAGAAATTGGTTAGTTTCTCAATTTTAAAGATATGCAACTCATCCTGGGCAGACATTACTCTGAGAAGGAGGTATCTTTAGGTCGACTACAGAGCTCTTTCTGTTTCTGTTTTTCGTTCCGTTTGATGTACTGGTCCGTTCACTCTGGAATCGCATGGAAGGAGCAACCCCACATATGCGGATCGGTTCAAAAATAGCAGAATCTAATAAATTTCAATTCATTATTCATTTCCTTGAAACGCGTTCAACCCGCTGATTAAACAAAATAAACCAGTTAATCTGCCACAAAAAACAAGATTTGGAAAGCCAATATTTTTTGTGTGTGTTTCTCATTAGATCCCTCATAAAATTCAATGAAGCTCTACTAATCCATATATTCATCTCTCAATCCCGCAGATAAGGTCAAAGTATTTACGGTGGCCACTGAACCCACCGATGGCTATGCCCGCTACATTCGTTCTGCACGCATTTACGATATTAAGGTGAGATATTCCTTCTTTATTTTTTAAGGCATTACTCTAGCATCTAGTTTAGTCCAGATAGTCCAGGGGTAGTGTAGTCAGTCTCATTTGCACATGATATCTAACATCTTGGCATTGGTTTTGCGGTTTCGAAAGAACCGTTATGAGTGCTAGAAGAAAGAAAAGAAATGACCGATTAACAACTGCGACACACAGTTAGTCCATATAGTATGTTTACGAGTCAATCAAAGGCTTGTTTATGGACCCGTTTCTTATTTTTAGAACTGTTTAGGGAAGCAGTTCCATCAGAAGTTTAGAAAGATTCATTATTCTGGTTAATTCTTCATAAATAAATCATTGGGAGCTGACTTTTCATTCGGAGAAAATCCTCGTAAAGCCATCGCTTCTCTCTATTATATAAAATTTTAAGATTTTTTTCGGTCACCGCCCGAAAACTTAATAAATTCTCCTCAAAAATCGAGATAAAAGATCCTTTATTAATGGTTCTACTATGTTATTCTCTCCCAAAAATGACCCACAATCCTATATAAGTTTAATAAAGTGATATCATAGGAATCGAAAGCATAAACCAAAATTCATTCTAGAAAACATTCTGTGACCAATTCTTTCATATGCAAATGAGAGCTGATTGTTTTTATTGATGAATCTCTAATTTGACGTCTGTCCAGAGAATCTGTTGTTCATAAAAACTTGTCCAAGAACCTCAAACTATACTATATAGTATATACTCTTATGTATTGTATGATTTCTACTATATATGTACATACACTGTATATGTGACAGATAAGGGGGGTTTGTGCTGTGTGGTTTTCCAAAGATCTCGAAAAATCGCCGGTTGTCGGCTTGTGGCACACTTTCATAACTTTGTATTGTTTTATGTCTGTTCTCCGTACATTGGGGTACATACAATATATGCGGCCAAGCATCCGGCGCGGCATCTGATGTGTACCCCAGAGATTGGCTGGACATTCTGGGGCACAGGCACCGGCTCCGGCATCGGCACCGGCAACATCTAGTGCACACATGTTTGAAATACGTATTCGGATTCGTATTCGGATTCTCATGCTTCCCCCGATTGCGGGCGTAACGTAGTCCCAGTCCCAATGCAGTTGCCGGGGGTTATTAGAACAGACATCGGTTCTCGGTTCTATTCGGTTTCCAGAACTTTCTTCCAATCATCTTCCACATACAGATGGGGTTTGACTTCTGCTTATCAGAGATTTGCTCCCTCTAAACGCTGACAGTTTTCTGATGGTGGTTTCTGTGCTAGAATTTGTCAAGCCGCACTCTGTATGTTTCGGTATACGAAAATTCTGCTGATTAGCCCGATCCTGATGCTCGCTCCCCCTTTGTCTTGGATTTCGTCGTGTATTCGGAGAACTGTGTGAGCCCCAAGCGATTGCAAAATGAATGAAGATTGTTGTTGAGGTTTCATTCGGTTTCATGTTTTGTATATGCTTCCACATATTCGTTTGGTTCTTTGTTTTCATAAATCTAAATAAGGAAAATTCAGTGCTTGTCCAATTTCTGATTTGAGCCATACTAACAACAAAAGGTCTACCTTTAAATACCGATTGTTTTTAGGGTTGCACTAAGATATATAAGTCGTATTTTGGTTTGATTATAATGGGACTTTATAGGATACTTCTTTGAACCCTTTGCGACTCCATTAAATAAGGCAATCAGGAACATGGAAGTACAATGAGACAATCTAATGAATTGGGGTTATCTATAAACGATCTGGCAACAAACAGCCGGATGCAAATTGAAATCAACAAAATTTCAGAGATATTTCATGCTTAGAAGATAGTAAATCCAATTAAGTTTAATGAAACCCACTTAAGATTATTTAAAATTTTTTAAATTTGAAATCATATTTCAGTCCGAATCCGTATCTACAATTCATTTACTTTCTTTTATATTATGACCAACAGGTCACAACTTTGGGCCTAGGCGAGCAATGGAAGGGCGGTGATATGAATCATCCCGGTGGCGGGGCCAAGATCAATCTCCTTCGAAAAGCTATTGCGCCCCTGAAGGATGAACAAGACACAATCGTACTCTTCACAGACAGGTAAGAACCTACTAAAGTTCAAAACAGTACAGAGACGAAAATAAAACCCTCATTTTGTATAGCTACGATGTGATCATCACGGCCACGCTAGAGGAGATTGTAGAGCTGTTCAAGGAATCCAAAGCCAAGCTGCTATTCTCCGCAGAGAAGTTCTGCTGGCCGGACAGCAGCCTGACCGATGCGTACCCCGAGGTGGAGAGCAATGCCTCGCGATTCCTCAACTCTGGTGCCTTCATTGGCTATGCCCCGCAGGTGTACGCTCTGCTGAAGGAGGACATCGAGGACACCGATGATGATCAGCTGTACTACACTAAGGTGTTCCTGGACGAGGTTAAGCGGGCCAAGCTGGGCATGAAGCTGGACACGCAGTCACGCCTGTTCCAGAACCTGCACGGTGCCAAGAATGATGTCAAGCTGAAGGTGGACATCGAGACCAACCAGGGCGTCCTGCAGAACGTAAACTTTCAGACCACGCCCGCCATTGTCCATGGCAACGGACTGAGCAAGATCGAGCTGAATGCCTATGGCAACTACCTGGCCAAAACATTCAATGGCATCTGCACTTTTTGTCAGGAGTATCTCCTGGAACTGGATGTAAGTATTGGCCATATCCCGAACAGAATATATTTAATACAGTTATGAATCACCTTTCAGGAGAAAAATCTGCCCGTCATCTCCCTATCCGTGATTGTCCCAACGGCCGTGCCCTTCTTTGACCAATTCCTCGAGGCCATCGAGAAGATCAACTACCCCAAGCAGAACCTCCATTTGCTCATCTACAGCAATGTGGAGCTCCATGATGCGGACATCAAGTCATTTGTGAACAAGCATGGCGAGAAATATGCCAGTGCCAAGTTTACTCTATCCACGGATAAGCTGGACGAGCGTCAAGGCAGGCAATTGGCTCTGTAAGTGTTTAAGGGTACATATATTTGGATGGAAATGCTACATTTTGTTGATTGATAGCAGCTGAAGCTAGAGAAGATTGTATTCCCGGGGGGAATCGCTCAGCACAGATTCTTATTCATATGTAGGAATGTCTTAAGATCTGAGAGAGCTTCTTTTCCAAATGTATTGCTTCGTACAAGCTACAAATCTTTTCCGTTACTCTTAAAGAACACTTAAATTATTATTTCTGATGCTTCCCAAACCAAAAAAATCTTGCATCTTGCCGAGAATATTCCAATATTTACGAAGGTTTCTTTTTTATTGCAGCGACCAAGCCAAGGTCCGCAAAAGCGACTACATTTTCTTCATCGATGCAGATGCCCATATCGACGATGGCGAAGTGCTACGCGAATTGCTCAAACTGAACAAGTATGTCACTGCCAAAACACCTTTTTGAAACCTTAACACTGTAAAATAATGATGCCCCTCTTTTGCAGGCAATTTGTGGCGCCGCTGTTTGCCAAGTATCACGAGCTGTGGAGCAACTTCTGGGGCGCACTCTCGGAGGGCGGCTTCTATGCGAGGTCGCACGACTACGTGGACATTGTCAAGCGGGATCTGATGTAAGCATAAAAGACTCTCGAATATTCGAGTACATATACGTATGCGTTAGGTGGATCAATTTTATTGCTTAAGGCTATGGTGCCACGCCCCGAACTGATGCGATCGGCGATCGTCGATCAGTCGAAGGCAATGGAGAAATCTGTTTTGAAGCTGCGCCGATCAATGGAGTACATGTTGTCGGCGGTGCACTCGTAGAGGCCTGCGTCCATCTGTGTGGCGGGGTCGATTTCGATCTTGGACTTCACCCTGTCATCGCCGATGGTCCACTCGTGGACGTGCATGTAGAGGTGCTGGTAGATCTCGGCACCGTCCTTGTACCAGGTGATCTGTGGCCGCGGATTGCCCTTGGCCACGCACAGGAAGGCGATCTTGTGGCCCAGCACGTACTCCAGATCAAAGTGTGAGGCCTGCAAGATCTTGGCTCCCTGCGGCGGGGAATCAAAAATTCGATATGTGATTATGTTTCACTGTTCAACTATGTCTCAACTCACGTTATTATTGTTGTAGTACTGATCGGATTCGGGATCGCGGTATTTGCCTGTGATGGGTAGGCCGATCTGGACCCTCGACTTGGTGCGTCCACGACCACGGGCACGCCGCGCCTCGCAAACGGGCCCAGTGCCCAGCATGAGCAGTCCCAGGCCGAGGCAGATGATCAGGCATTTGACCTGCATTGCGATGTGTGTGTGTGTGTGCAATGTGTGTGTGTGTGTATGTGAGGTGTGTACTCTGTGACTCCTCGGATGGCTCCGTCCGACGGTGCTGTGCGAATCTCGTCTGCTTGGCGACTGATCCACTCTGCTGTGGGCCTTGCTCGATCCCTCAGATCTGCCCCACGTAATTTGCCGCAATTGGCGTCGCCATATAATCCGTGCATCGTGCAGTGGAAGAGCGCTCTTCAAATCTTTTTGGACTTGGCCCGTGATGGTTCCTCATCTCTGCATTTCCATATTCCACACTCAATTTCATCGCTTGATTTCATTTGAATGTTCGTTCGCAAACGGGAGGCTCTGTTCACCCCTTTTCCTGATATTTTCTGCTTGGCACAGTGGGTCCATTGAAAGAGAAATATATTATAGGCGAATGTGTGTACCCTTATGTATTTCCTATCCCTTATTCCTATGCTTAATGTTGTCATATATGCAAAATTTATATTTGGGATTTGTCTGCACAATTATTGCCAGCCTGCGACCCACTGTGCCCTTGTGGGGACATTGGACATTTCAAAGCCACTGTATGGGGTTTGCTTTCACACATTTTAATAAAATAAATGCAAAAAAATCATTTGAATTAGGTAATTGAGCCAATTTGTCGGCCACGCATACTCAGATGCGCCCTCCCTCACATAGATACAATGCAAACACACACACACAGACAAACATGAGGCATAAGGTCGTGGAATGAATACAACTTAAATTTCCATGAAATGAGACGCAGAAAAGTATTTTTATACATTTTTGTTTTGTTTTTTGTTTTTATTAACTTTAGCTTTAAATGATGCAAAGTTTAGATTTCATTTTACTGTGCTAAAAGTTAACCATAACATAGTCCGTGCGAAAGCCTCGACGATCGATGGCATAGATATTGTCCGCTTGGCATTCGTAGTAGCCTGAAATGTGGAGTTGATATAGAGGCTATCGAACAGACGTAAAGAGTTTAAAATTTCGGCTTAAGATGGTACATTTTGATATCATTTATTACTCTAGATGTTCCCTATTTCCTCTTCGTTTCCATAACTCACCCGCATCCATCTGTGTTGTGGGATCTATTTCCATTTTACTCTTGATTATATCCGTCTCTATATGAGACTCGTGCACCTACAAACACATACACACACACACACAGAAGAGTAGTCAGTTAAGTGATCGCAAAGTATTCGTTTTGGTTTACCTGAAAGAAGCGATGCTGGTAGAGTTCAGCTCCATCCTTGAACCAGGTGATGGTGGGCCTTGGGTTACCTAAAACAGATTCATCTATGTACTCCGCCCTGAATGAGCATAAATCTCAGTCCTACTCACCTTGGGCCATGCAGAAGAAGGTGATCTTGCGTCCCAGCGTGTAGTCCAACTCAAAGTGCGAGGACTTAATTATCTTGGCACCCTAAAAAGGTAGCATAGGCAATACGAGTATCAATACAAACGCTAGCAAACGTCGTCTTACTCACATTCTCATGATCGTAGTAGCTGACTGCATCCTGGGAGAGATGTTGAATGACCACGGGCTTCTTGCCCGTATAGTTGCGTCGCAGAACATTCCTGCCGCCTGTGCTTCCTGGGGAAATTACCAAACAGTTGAGTATCCAGTGGATATAAAGATGATGTATCTACTCACTTTGGGCTGACACATGGCCAAAATCGCTGAGCATCAGCAGCAGGCAGAGGCCTAGCAGAGCAAAATGCTTGAAATTCCAGCTCCAGAGGCCACAGAGACTGGTCATTGTCGTGCCGTGTGGGATTCCGATCGACAATCGTCAACGGGGAATGTTGTTTTGATACTGCGCTCTGCATCTGCACGGCACGTTATCCACTCCACTCCGGACCCCACGCGTCCCCACATCGTTCGTCATAGCCGCCCCTCTGTTCACCAGTCTGGATGCGGGCACTTTTTGATTGAATTACCCGTAAATAGGGGGGGATCAGATCTGTTGGGTGCGACGACGCCACTTTCCATTTCGCAACTTTGTTGCAAATCCACTGCGCAATGATTGTTGTCCCTCCTTCGCACTGTTTTTTTTTTTTTGCCTGGCTTATTCATCAGTTCTCGTTCTCTCCATTCTCCGACAGCGGCATGTTCAACGTGCCCCATGTGACGAGCATCTATCTGGTAAAGAGCAGCGCTTTCGACGTTCTCACCTTTCAGCACAGCGAATACGACGCCGATATGGCCATGTGCGAATCACTACGAAATGCGGTAAGTACTCAATGATCGTTGGGATGAAATAAACCAACGATAAATGAATGAATATATTTAGTACCTCTTAGTACTAACCCGTGCACTTAGTGCCTAGTACTAATCCAAATTGTGGCTTCGTTTTCCAGGGTATATTCATGTTCATTAGCAATCAGCGCTACTTCGGACACTTGGTAAATGCCGATAACTTTGATACCAAGGTGACACGTCCCGACTTTTACACGCTGTTCAGCAATCGGTACGACTGGACCGAGAAGTACATTCATCCGAACTACTCGGCGCAGCTGAACGCCACCACTGTGCTGGAGCAGCCGTGTCCGGATGTGTACTGGATGGCGATCGTGACGGATGCCTTCTGCGATGATCTTGTGGCCATTATGGAGGCCCACGGCACCTGGTCTGATGGCACCAACAATGACAATCGTCTGGAGGGAGGCTACGAGGCAGTGCCCACGCGCGACATCCATATGAAGCAGGTGGGCCTCGAGGTGCTGTACCTGAAGTTCCTGGAGCTGTTTGTGCGACCTTTGCAGGAGCGCGTCTTTACCGGCTACTATCATAATGTGAGTTCATCGATAAATTCCAAGAGATCAGGTTGTTAATGTTTGATCCACACACACACAGCCTCCCCGTGCGCTGATGAACTTCATGGTGCGCTACAGGCCCGACGAGCAGCCCTCGCTGCGTCCCCATCATGACGCCTCGACCTACACCATCAACATTGCCATGAACCAGGTGGACACCGACTACGAGGGCGGCGGCTGCCGCTTCCTGCGTTACAACTGCTCCGTGACGAAGACAAAGAAGGGCTGGATGCTGATGCACCCCGGCCGACTGACCCACTACCATGAAGGACTGCTGGTGACCAAAGGCACACGCTACATTATGATCTCCTTCATCGATCCGTAGACGTAGAGGGGCCGCCATCCCGAAAAGAGATTCGAATGGGCATTTAATGGTTACTATATGCATCATAACTGCCATATCGGCCACTCCAAAGAATTGTATCCTATGCCCAAAACAAAACCCGATCAAATCTAGTTAAAGTCCCAGTAGAAGATGTTGGGGGTTTTCGGCCAGTCTGAATTTTTTGATGATTTTACATACCCGACTACTTTGAGACCGAAAGCTTTAGAGTCCCTAAAAAGAATCAGTTTAATCCTTAAGTTAATTGTAAGTTTTTTACAACGTACTCAACGTGTTCAAGTCTGCAATCAAATAAATGCAATTATTAAAAAGTTTACACATAATTTTAGAAATATAAATATCTACATATGTTGAATTGAATTTACATTAGAAATAATTGTTATATTTCCATTTCATAGAAGTTCTAATCTCTTCACAACCACTGTGCGAGCAACTGCATCCACTCTTATCTGTTCAACAGCCGTTATTTCGCCTCACACAGTGCCGGGCTAACAGTCTCGGAGAGAGAAAGAGAGCGAAAAATGAACAGCGTACAGAGCGCTGTTAGAACAGCTGGGGCGTCGCCATGGCCCCATATGCACAAGCAGAACTTGCAGTCTCGGCCGTGTGTTCTCTCCGTCTCTGTCTGGGCCACATTCATTGCGAGCTTTGTGGCGTCGCTGTCGGCGTCGCTGGTCGTTGGAGCAGCGGCTTCTTGTTTCCGTTCCGTTTAGTCTGGCCATTCGCGTTTTTCCTAGGAGTCGGTGCGGGCTGCTTCGTTGCGCGGTCGATTACTGTTGGTCTCTCTGGCCTGCGCCTGGATAACGCAAGTGCGTGTTAAAAATAGCAAAAAAAAACGAAGAAAAACCTCCCACACAGATAAAAACACTGTTTCGTTTATCGTGGCGCCGAATATCAATGAACAACAAAAAATAATAAAATAAATAAAATGAGGGAAATGCAAATTTTTGAGGGACTTTAAAACGCCGCATCCTGGAAAATGTGTCTGTGACTCTAGTGTGTGTGTGTGAAATAAACAAAAAGGCGAAAGTTTGTTGTTGGCTCTCCGAACGGGCTCTCTCTCTCACTCACTGACGCTCTCAGTTCCTTGTTCCTCGTTCTCCTCTTTTGCCTTCCTTCCTTTTGCCGCGTGCAAGGTGTTTTTCATGCAAGGTATGGCACTGGCGCAACTCCTGGTTGCTCTACGGAACTGTCCCCACCTTGTTTGAGCACACACTCCTTTCTTTTCTGTTTCATTTCCCAACATTCTTTTTATTAGTGAGTGAGTGAGTGCGCGTTTGGGGGCGGCTGACATCTCACACCTGATGTTGGTGCTGTCCTTGTTGTTCCTGTTGGCCAAGTTTTTTGTTGCCTTCCAAAAGTTGCGCTGGGCAACCGTTAGGGCAAAAGCAACAACAGTAACGAGGGCGAGTTTCTCTCATGGCTGTTCAATTTTCTCTTTAAAAGAAAACCCAACCAGACTGCCTGCCTGCAGGGAGAACAATCCAATTCATTGCCAACTCTGAATTTAGCCGGCAATAAAACCGAAAGTGTCTGGCAGCCAGCAGCATATTCGTAGTCCTCTTTGATGAGCCGCCGCAACCGCAGACGCCCCTCGGATGTGATTGGAGAGATCTTGGCGTTTCCGCGTGCCGTGTCCTTCCGCGTCGCTAACAAGCTGCAGCGCCCAGGACCAGAGGTGAGTACAGTGTGCTTTTTGCCCTACTCCTTCTTTTGCGTGTGTATTGGTGAGGGTATTGTGTGGCGGAAGAGGGTATGATAACTTTAAACAGAGTTTGGTAACGTAGATTAGTCTTTCTGTTGAAGATGCTGCCATTTCCCTAAATAAACAAATAAAAAGAGTCGATCTATCAATCCCTCAGACCAAATGCCATTCAACTCTAAAAATAAATCTATGAACTTTTGATCCGCGATGAACTGATAGGGCATCCAAACTTCGGGGCGGAAAAGAAAGTTTGCTTACAGTTTGATTGCCGTTTTCTATTAGCGAACGGGCGCCTGGTGTTCCCTATCCGTCGCCACTCGCCCGGAGAGAGGAACACGGACCCAAGCAGCTGCTAATGGCGCGCGTTGGCTTGTGAAAAAAGCAAAAACGAATACGACAACTGCCAGAAAGGGGAGAGGCAAAAGGGGCACTTAGGCAATAGGGAGATCTAAGCATGTGTGAAAGTTTCCACACCTCATGCACCCCAACCCCCATATGTAGTGGCCAACAACATATGGTGGAAGCTAATTTTCTTTTGACTTCTTGAATCTGCGGTGAACATAGCATAAATAAACACACAGCAGCCACTTGCATGTAAATATACAATATTATTAAATATGTATTTGGAATATTTATTCAGTGGGTTAAGTCAATTATGTGCGGGATACGAGAATTTAATGATCCTAAATGTTGGATTTAGCCTACCATCCGATAAGCCCGGATTTATTATTCAAATGAAATCAGTTTCCTGTCTTTCATCAATTTGATGGCCCCAAAGACAGACAGACAGATACGCCACTCAGAATCTGTCGCTTAAAGTGACCCCAGGACCTAGGAGCTCGTTATGTGCTTACACCAGGGTCCTAAATCAAATTTACATTCCGGCAATCATCATAAAAGAAAGCAGCAGAGCTTGCCCCCAGGCAGGTGCAACCACCCGTCCGAGGTACATACATATGTACATATACTACACATATGCAAATGAGGGGATGTGGCCCAGTGCCCGGGTCTCGAAGTCCCCGTGAAAGTCCCTCCTTTTCAGCGCCAGGACATGTGCGTGCGTGCGAAATCTGCGAAAAAAAGGAAGAGAAACAAAAAATGATTAACAAAGGCTCCCCGAGGTGCGGCTAAGGATGGGGTATGGGTTATGGTGAATGGGACAAACCGTACTCACATGGGGAATTACATCCATCGTCGCACAGACCCAGACGGGTGACCGAACCAGAGACGGAGCCAGTGCCAGTGCCTAGCCCCCTCGGGACAGGCGCAGTGCGGCTGTCAAAACAAGGCCCAGCCCTCCCTTTGAGAGACGCCCAGCTGCTGCTCTACTGGTTAATGGCATTTGAGGAGGCGCCCCCAGGCCACGACATGAAACTCGAGCGAGTAATTTGTGTCACGTTTTAATTTTTGACGCCGCAAAGGACATTCGAGTGTCTCAACGACGCGCTGCTCCGTGATTATGACAATTAGGATTGCGTTGAGTTCTTGTTGGTATTTAAAGGGGTTTATTTTGTAAGCCCTTTTTCCAAAGGCAAAACGGTGGGGCCTTTGTCCAGCTCCCAACGAGTGCTCGTGTGCATAATTAAAGGGACACAGCAGCCGTGTTGTGAGGCGATTACAGGTTGGAATAACATATGGTATTCCGCTTTAAAAGGTTTTAATATTTAAAGAGGTCTCTCGAACAGAAAAGGGAATATCTATTTTAGCTACGTAGCAACAAGCTTCAGGAAATGAAGTTTGTTCAGCATAATATTGATTGATCTGTGACTGCAGATAAGTACCTAATGTGTTTTGATGGTGCAAAATTATTCCTCTTGCGTATCCATTATCTAAACCATTTACCAAGCATTTATCTAATGGGAATTTCCAATACAAAATTATTATCGAGTTTTAAGCTCAAATGCATTGTTGGTATAACCGTTCATGAATCACCTCAAATTAGGTGGGTTTCAGGTGGTAAGCACATAATCAATCAATTCTGTTGAGGTCGTTAACGATAGCAAGGAGAGTTTGTAGAGTTTTACCATATTCAAATGTTTTTTTACTTACGTCTTGTGAAATTTTCTTCAGTGTAATCATCAGTGTAAATCCGCTAATTGGATACATTTCCATATCAATCATTCTCAGCCATAATTACAATTGGGAATACTATTTTTTTTTTAGCCTTGGATGGACGAACGGCGCTTCTCCTTTTGGCTGTCAACTGCCGCGTCAAGTGGTTGGTTCAACATGCCACAAAGCGGCAAAAAATATGCCAGTGAAATGTCCAACGCCATTTGCAGTGATTTTTGCTCTGCCACCCTGATTTTGCTTCGGATTCTGATTCTGAAACGCATTTCAAGCATCCCTGGGCTGCGTCAACGCCTGTCAGACTGCGTGACTTTCAAATGGAAGGCTCTCAGGCAAAAACGGTGAAAAGTTTGACCGTTTTTCTCGGCGAAAAGTGCATGCTGGTTGGGGTAAAAGTAAGTTACGATAAACATTCGAAATTTCTAGAGACTTTAACCATCCAGACATGAATGAAATTCCTGCAGTATCCCTAAAAATGCCTCTCTAATTTCTCCATTTTTTTTGGAACACATGAATGGGAATGGTGAATCATTCACCAGAACTACATATTTTGGTATATCATTAAATAATGGAATATGTTTCTGTAGATTCTGTTCTTTAAGTAGATTCCTTATTTCCTTTTTTATTTTCTGTATCCATAGCAAATTTCAATTGAATTACGTTTACAGTTACCGCCATCTTTATTGGGAAACCCTCGGAAATGAGATAGTCATGGCCGTACTTCCTCGCTTCTGACTCTTCCATTTCCACTTTCAACATCTGAGAGCGAGAGAGAGAGAGAGAGGACAGCGAGAGGTAAGCAACAACTGCGTAAACAGACGCGGACAGGACTGCGGCAGGACATTATGAAGTACTGAGGAATGGCAAGGAATGAAGGGGGTCTTCAGTCAATTTGACAAACATGACACAGAAACGGAAACGAGAACGAACGTTGCTCCACAGCCAGCTCCTCCTGACTTGCAACTTGGGGCAGCAGTAGCAGTTTCCTTAATGGACACTCTTCAGACACGACTCTTTGCCGCGGGGCATTCCTCCTTCAAGAAGCAGTGGGGTGGCATTGGGGGGAAAAGGGAGAGAGTGGGAGAGGGAGCCTGGCAATTAAATTTTTAAAATGCCATTTCAAAAGCAATTTCGAACGGCAGTGCAAATTAAAAATGCCAACTGTCTGCCAGTACAAGGACCACGACGAAGATGAGGACGAGAGTACTGTGTGTTGTGTGGAAAGGCGAAAGAGAAATAGAAAGCAGAGAGAAACGGAGAGGAAAGAACAGCAGGAGCAGGACCAAGAGCACTGCCGTAGGACAACAAGGAAAGGAAATATTTTCACAAATAAACGTAAATTGAATTTTGTGGCCAAGGAATGGCAAGTTGTGTCTGCTGCGGCTCTGCCCAAACAAAGAAAAAAACTCTAAGGAATGCCAGCAGTCAAGTATTGCACTGAGACCATTAGGATACCCCGCTACTAGGATTTATAGCTTGTATGTTCGAACAGTGTTGCATGCCACAGGACTCACAAAATAAGAGAAAATTACAAGAATGCTTTAGGGGTTTTTTTTTGTAGCCGTATTTTGGCTCCGACTTGAGGCTTGCAAGCCTCAATATCTTTTAAATATCTTTGACCTATGGGTACCATAGTCTTTTCTAAGCTCTTCTCTTCTGTTGCATGCATATCTCCAAACCCAATATACCCTGCTAATCCATGGATAGAAATCAATGTCTACAAGCAAAAGAAAGTTTTACCAAGTTTTCTGTGTGTGCTTCTGGGCTTTTTTTTGTGGGTCGGGCCGTCTCATTGCAGTGATCCCAGGCAAGCCGGCGCCAAGTGCCGGTCCGGCGCCTGACTGGCTACTTTTTCTTTCGAGAAACTCATGTGCCACGCCCCGCAAGGCCCCGTCCCGCCCGGGCCGGCACATGGCCTGTGCCAAGTGAGAATGCGTTTTTTGGGGTTCTGTTTTGCTTGGGACATTCGCAGCACCCGGACGAGGGAGGGCGGAGTGCTGCCGATTTCCCATCAGCTGTTGTCATTCTATCAGCAGCCCCTTCTAGCCCAAAATCCCTGAGCACATGCAATTTCTTCCGCTTCTTCAAGCCACAGCTTCGTTCACTTGCCTCTTCAGACTGTAGTTTTAGTTTTCTTTGCCTCTTCAGACTCAACAATTTTTCTGCATTGCCCCTTTTTCTTGCTTGGTTTTCCTCTTTTCCTTGGAGTGTGTTTGGGTTTTGGTTTGGTTTTGGTTTTGGTTTTTGCGATTTTTCTTGTAATTTAATTGGCAATTTTTGAAGCATTTTTAACATTCCCGCTGCTATTTGGCTACCAGCCAGCCATGAACTTTGTCCTGCTCGTGCGTCCGTACTGGTCCGTCTTCGTCTGCTGCCAACCAATCTCAATCTAATTTGACCAAAAACGAAATGGAAACAATGTTTTTATACATTCCCCTTTGGGCCATTTGAATGCGCATAGAATCTTTTGCAAACTCAATTTGATAATGCTTTGGACAGACACTTTACAAATTCTACATATGCCCTATATCCTTATTGGACATTTTTCTTTTTTGAAAACAGAAATGGCCACAAGGAAGAGTTAAGGATGTTCAATTTGATGCAGTTTTGTGTTGGAGATTGGAGGGCTTTAATTTTGTAAGAAATTAAATGTTTTTGTATTTTGAAATTGTATACGAATAAATACTAAAGAAAGGATAGTATGAGGAGGAAGTTTTACTATTTTAATATTTATTAAATTCGACATAAAAACTGAAAGAGGAAATAAAATATATGTAAATGTATTAAAAATAATAAAGTTCGTTCTCCAAAGTTCGTTATCCCCCCATAAAATATAGAAAATCGCTAAGTTTCACTCTCTCCCTTTTTCCCAGTGTGGCTTAGCAGCTTTCTTACGGCTTATC